TTCTCATGCACGTTCTCATGCACGTTCTCATACACGTTCTCATGCACGTTCTCATGCACGACGTTCTCGTGCACGTTCTCATGCACGTTCTCATGCACGACGTTCTCGTGCACGTTCTCGTGCACGTTCTCATGCACGTTCTCATGCACGTTCTCATGCACGTTCTCATGCACGTTCTCATGCACGTTCTCATGCACGTTCTCATGCACGTTCTCATGCACGTTCTCATGCACGTTCTCATGCACGTTCTCATGCACGTTCTCATGCACGTTCTCATGCACGTTCTCATGCACGACGTTCTCGTGCACGTTCTCATGCACGTTCTCATGCACGACGTTCTCGTGCACGTTCTCGTGCACGTTCTCATGCACGTTCTCATGCACGTTCTCATGCACGTTCTCATGCACGTTCTCATGCACGTTCTCATGCACGTTCTCATGCACGTTCTCATGCACGACGTTCTCGTGCACGTTCTCATGCACGTTCTCATGCACGACGTTCTCGTGCACGTTCTCGTGCACGTTCTCATGCACGTTCTCATGCACGTTCTCATGCACGTTCTCATGCACGTTCTCATGCACGTTCTCATGCACGTTCTCATGCACGTTCTCATGCACGACGTTCTCGTGCACGTTCTCATGCACGACGTTCTCGTGCACGTTCTCGTGCACGTTCTCATGCACGTTCTCATGCACGTTCTCATGCACGTTCTCATGCACGTTCTCATGCACGTTCTCATGCACGTTCTCATGCACGTTCTCATGCACGACGTTCTCGTGCACGTTCTCATGCACGACGTTCTCGTGCACGTTCTCATGCACGTTCTCATGCACGACGTTCTCGTGCACGTTCTCGTGCACGTTCTCATGCACGTTCTCATGCACGTTCTCATGCACGTTCTCATGCACGTTCTCATGCACGTTCTCATGCACGTTCTCATGCACGTTCTCATGCACGTTCTCATGCACGTTCTCATGCACGTTCTCATGCACGTTCTCATGCACGTTCTCATGCACGACGTTCTCGTGCACGTTCTCATGCACGACGTTCTCGTGCACGTTCTCATGCACGTTCTCATGCACGACGTTCTCGTGCACGTTCTCGTGCACGTTCTCATGCACGTTCTCATGCACGTTCTCATGCACGTTCTCATGCACGTTCTCATGCACGTTCTCATGCACGTTCTCATGCACGTTCTCATGCACGACGTTCTCGTGCACGTTCTCATGCACGTTCTCATGCACGTTCTCATGCACGTTCTCATGCACGTTCTCATGCACGTTCTCATGCACGTTCTCATGCACGTTCTCATGCACGTTCTCATGCACGTTCTCATGCACGTTCTCATGCACGACGTTCTCGTGCACGTTCTCATGCACGTTCTCATGCACGGCGTTCTCGTGCACGTTCTCGTGCACGTTCTCATGCACGTTCTCATGCACGTTCTCATGCACGTTCTCATGCACGTTCTCATGCATGTTCTCATGCACGTTCTCATGCACGACGTTCTCGTGCACGTTCTCATGCACGTTCTCATGCACGTTCTCATGCACGTTCTCATGCACGTTCTCATGCACGTTCTCATGCACGTTCTCATGCACGTTCTCATGCACGTTCTCATGCACGTTCTCATGCACGTTCTCATGCACGTTCTCATGCACGTTCTCATGCACGACGTTCTCGTGCACGTTCTCATGCACGTTCTCATGCACGACGTTCTCGTGCACGTTCTCGTGCACGTTCTCATGCACGTTCTCATGCACGTTCTCATGCACGTTCTCATGCACGTTCTCATGCACGTTCTCATGCACGTTCTCATGCACGTTCTCATGCACGTTCTCATGCACGTTCTCATGCACGTTCTCATGCACGTTCTCATGCACGTTCTCATGCACGTTCTCATGCACGACGTTCTCGTGCACGTTCTCATGCACGTTCTCATGCACGACGTTCTCGTGCACGTTCTCGTGCACGTTCTCATGCACGTTCTCATGCACGTTCTCATGCACGTTCTCATGCACGTTCTCATGCACGTTCTCATGCACGTTCTCATGCACGTTCTCATGCACGACGTTCTCGTGCACGTTCTCATGCACGTTCTCATGCACGACGTTCTCGTGCACGTTCTCGTGCACGTTCTCATGCACGTTCTCATGCACGTTCTCATGCACGTTCTCATGCACGTTCTCATGCACGTTCTCATGCACGTTCTCATGCACGACGTTCTCGTGCACGTTCTCATGCACGACGTTCTCGTGCACGTTCTCGTGCACGTTCTCATGCACGTTCTCATGCACGTTCTCATGCACGTTCTCATGCACGTTCTCATGCACGTTCTCATGCACGTTCTCATGCACGTTCTCATGCACGACGTTCTCGTGCACGTTCTCATGCACGTTCTCATGCACGACGTTCTCGTGCACGTTCTCGTGCACGTTCTCGTGCACGTTCTCATGCACGTTCTCATGCACGTTCTCATGCACGTTCTCATGCACGTTCTCATGCACGTTCTCATGCACGTTCTCATGCACGTTCTCATGCACGTTCTCATGCACGACGTTCTCGTGCACGTTCTCATGCACGTTCTCATGCACGACGTTCTCGTGCACGTTCTCGTGCACGTTCTCATGCACGTTCTCATGCACGTTCTCATGCACGTTCTCATGCACGTTCTCATGCACGTTCTCATGCACGACGTTCTCGTGCACGTTCTCATGCACGTTCTCATGCACGACGTTCTCGTGCACGTTCTCGTGCACGTTCTCATGCACGTTCTCATGCACGTTCTCATGCACGTTCTCATGCACGTTCTCATGCACGTTCTCATGCACGTTCTCATGCACGTTCTCATGCACGTTCTCATGCACGACGTTCTCGTGCACGTTCTCATGCACGTTCTCATGCACGACGTTCTCGTGCACGTTCTCGTGCACGTTCTCATGCACGTTCTCATGCACGTTCTCATGCACGTTCTCATGCACGTTCTCATGCACGTTCTCATGCACGTTCTCAGGCACGTTCTCATGCACGTTCTCATGCACGTTCTCATGCACGTTCTCATGCACGTTCTCATGCACGACGTTCTCGTGCACGTTCTCATGCACGTTCTCATGCACGACGTTCTCGTGCACGTTCTCATGCACGTTCTCATGCACGACGTTCTCGTGCACGTTCTCGTGCACGTTCTCATGCACGTTCTCATGCACGTTCTCATGCACGTTCTCATGCACGTTCTCATGCACGTTCTCATGCACGTTCTCATGCACGTTCTCATGCACGACGTTCTCGTGCACGTTCTCATGCACGTTCTCATGCACGTTCTCATGCACGTTCTCATGCACGTTCTCATGCACGTTCTCATGCACGTTCTCATGCACGTTCTCATGCACGTTCTCATGCACGTTCTCATGCACGTTCTCATACACGTTCTCATGCACGTTCTCATGCACGACGTTCTCGTGCACGTTCTCATGCACGTTCTCATGCACGACGTTCTCGTGCACGTTCTCGTGCACGTTCTCGTGCACGTTCTCATGCACGTTCTCATGCACGTTCTCATGCACGTTCTCATGCACGTTCTCATGCACGTTCTCATGCACGTTCTCATGCACGTTCTCATGCACGTTCTCATGCACGTTCTCATGCACGTTCTCATGCACGTTCTCATGCACGTTCTCATGCACGACGTTCTCGTGCACGTTCTCATGCACGTTCTCATGCACGACGTTCTCGTGCACGTTCTCGTGCACGTTCTCATGCACGTTCTCATGCACGTTCTCATGCACGTTCTCATGCACGTTCTCATGCACGTTCTCATGCACGTTCTCATGCACGTTCTCATGCACGACGTTCTCGTGCACGTTCTCATGCACGTTCTCATGCACGACGTTCTCGTGCACGTTCTCGTGCACGTTCTCATGCACGTTCTCATGCACGTTCTCATGCACGTTCTCATGCACGTTCTCATGCACGTTCTCATGCACGTTCTCATGCACGTTCTCATGCACGACGTTCTCGTGCACGTTCTCATGCACGACGTTCTCGTGCACGTTCTCGTGCACGTTCTCATGCACGTTCTCATGCACGTTCTCATGCACGTTCTCATGCACGTTCTCATGCACGTTCTCATGCACGTTCTCATGCACGTTCTCATGCACGACGTTCTCGTGCACGTTCTCATGCACGTTCTCATGCACGACGTTCTCGTGCACGTTCTCGTGCACGTTCTCGTGCACGTTCTCATGCACGTTCTCATGCACGTTCTCATGCACGTTCTCATGCACGTTCTCATGCACGTTCTCATGCACGTTCTCATGCACGTTCTCATGCACGACGTTCTCGTGCACGTTCTCATGCACGTTCTCATGCACGACGTTCTCGTGCACGTTCTCGTGCACGTTCTCATGCACGTTCTCATGCACGTTCTCATGCACGTTCTCATGCACGTTCTCATGCACGTTCTCATGCACGTTCTCATGCACGTTCTCATGCACGACGTTCTCGTGCACGTTCTCATGCACGTTCTCATGCACGACGTTCTCGTGCACGTTCTCGTGCACGTTCTCATGCACGTTCTCATGCACGTTCTCATGCACGTTCTCATGCACGTTCTCATGCACGTTCTCATGCACGTTCTCATGCACGACGTTCTCGTGCACGTTCTCATGCACGTTCTCATGCACGATGTTCTCGTGCACGTTCTCGTGCACGTTCTCATGCACGTTCTCATGCACGTTCTCATGCACGTTCTCATGCACGTTCTCATGCACGTTCTCATGCACGTTCTCATGCACGTTCTCATGCAAGTTCTCATGCAAGTTCTCATGCATCTTCATCTTTTAAGTCATGTATTTCCTGATTCAGGTACCTTCATGGGCTAGCAAGTGTGATCACGGGCGTGGGAGGGAAGATCCATGGGAACACGCGGGTCAGAAGAATGCATGCAACCACTCTCTCCCGCATGCATGTGTGCCTCTCCCTCTCCACGCCTTCTTCCACAGGTACCTGCAGGGGCTAGCGAGCGCAGTGACTGCAATGGGAGGGAAGATCTACGAGAACACGCGGGTGATCCGCAACTCCTCGCTCTCCACCACTCTCGAGCTCAACACGGGCGTGCGCGTGACAGCTGGCAGCGTCGTATTGGCCACCAACTCGCCCATCAACCACAACCTGGCGGTGCACGCCAGGCAGAGCGCCTACCGGACCTATGTGGTGGGGCTGGCTGTTCCCAAGGGCAGTGTGCGGTGAGTGGTTGGGAGGTGTGGAGTGCGGTGGACTAAGTGCGGTAATGGTGGGTAATGGTGGTGTGGTAGTCGTCTCCCTACCACTATGTGTGCATGCCTACCAGCACACTTCATCTCCTCTCGCTCTTCCCCCCCTCTCTTGCTCCCCCACCAGGCGCGCCCAGTGGTGGGACACCGCGTCGCCCTACCACTACGTGCGCATCGCTCCCGGCCCGAGCGAGGCGGAGACAGACACGCTGATAGTGGGCGGTGAGGACCACCCCACGGGGGTGCTGGCGCCTAAGGAGTATCCCCAGGCATATGCGCGGCTGGAGAAGTGGGCGCGGGAGAGGTGGACGAGCGCAGGAAAAGTCGTTTTCAGGTGGACGGGCCAGGTGAGAATTCTGGATGTGCCCCTGCTCCCGGCCCTGGCCCTGGAGGAAGGGGCGGAGGCAGACACGCTCATAGTGGGGGGTGAAGACCACCCCACAGGGGTGCTGGCATATGCACGCCTAGAGAAGTGGGCGCGGGAGAGGTGGACGAGCGCTGGACGAGTGGTCTTCAGGTGGACGGGGCAGGTGGGTTCTGGGCGGGTGCTTTCTGGGCGGGAGGAGTGCAGACGACGCTGTGCTGTGCTGATGCGGCCCAATGACAACCCACCAACCTTCTCTTGCTGCTCTCCTGCCTCTCTCATTGCATGCCTCTTCTCTTCTGCTCCCCCTTCCCCCTCGGCACGCCAGGTGTACGAGCCAGTGGACCTCCTGGGGCTGTACGGCAGGAACCCTCTCGTGAACCGACCGTCCAAGGACATTTACATCGTCACAGGTATGGCCCCAGAATCCAGATGCCGTCTGCATGGTCGCACGTGCAGGGCCAGATGTCATGTGCCGTGCAGGCAAGGGCTGGAAGAGACTGGGTAGCCATGGCTGCAAGGTGAGATGACAGCTGTGTAATCGTCCAGCGTCAGATGGCAGCAATATGGACGCTGGACGATTACACAGCTGTAGGTGCTGTTGCAAGAAATGATGATGGTACGGATGCTTGCACTGGTGTCTCTCACTTCGGATTGCAGAAAGGTGTCCACAGCTGCACTCGCAAATCTCTCCCTGCCCTCGTCTCCCCTCAACCCACCCCTCTCAATCTCGCACCATGCCCTTCCACCATCCCGTCTCGCCATGCCCGCTGACCATGCCCTTCCCCCTTTGCCCAGGCAACAGCGGGCAGGGCATGACGGGCGGCACCATATCCGGGCTCGTGGTATCAGATTTGATTCTGTCGGGGCGCAGTGAGTGGGAGGAGCTGTACGACCCACGCCGCCTGCCACCGCTCTCCCAGGGGACAGCTCAGAGCATCGCAAGCATCACGGCACACACTGCCCAGGTGTGTGGAAGCATGCAGCATAAGCGAGTGGGAGGAGCTGTACGACCCGCATCGCCAGTATCACGGCACACACTGCCCAGGTGTGTGGAACCTCGCACAATATCACCGCCTGCCACCGCTCTACCTGGAGACAGCTCCGAGCATCGCAAGCATCACTGCCCACACGGCCCAGGTGTGCAGCAGTGCGTGTGAATCACACATCCTCACACCATCACACATCATGAAATCAAACACCCTCACCCGCAGCATGGCTCAGGTGTCCCACAGTGCGCGCGCATGGAATGCCACCCCCCAACCACGTTCACCCCCCAACCACGTTCTCCCCCCAACCACGTTCCCCCCCCAACAACGTTGACCCCCCAACAACGTTCAACCCCCAACCACGTTCACCCCCCAACAACGTTCACCCCCCAACCACGTTCACCCCCCAACCACGTTCACCCCCCAACCACGTTCACCCCCCAACCACGTTCACCCCCCAACTGCGCACACCCCCCAACGACGTTCACCCCCCAACGACGTTCACCCCCCAACGACGTTCACCCCCCGACGACGTTCACCCCCCGACGACGTTCACCCCCCGACGACGTTCACCCCCCGACCACGTTCACCCCCCGACCACGTTCACCCCCCGACCACGTTCACCCCCCGACCACGTTCACCCCCCGGCCACGTTCACCCCCCGACCACGTTCACCCCCCGACCACGTTCACCCCCCGACCACGTTCACCCCCCGACCACGTTCACCCCCCGACCACGTTCACCCCCCGACCACGTTCACCCCCCGACCACGTTCACCCCCCGACCACGTTCACCCCCCGACCACGTTCACCCCCCGACCACGTTCACCCCCCGACCACGTTCACCCCCCGACCACGTTCACCCCCCGACCACGTTCACCCCCCGACGACGTTCACCCTCCGACCACGTTCACCCCCCGACCACGTTCACCCCCCGACGTCGTTCACCCCCCGACGTCGTTCACCCCCCGACGACGTTCACCCCCCGACGACGTTGACCCCCCGACGACGTTCACCCCCCGACGACGTTCACCCCCCGACGACGCTCACCCCCCGACCACGTTCACCCCCCGACCACGTTCACCCCCCGACCACGTTCACCCCCCGACCACGTTCACCCCCCGACGACGTTCACCCCCCGACGACGTTCACCCCCCGACCACGTTCACCCCCCGACGACGTTCACCCCCCGACCACGTTCACCCCCCGACCACGTTCACCCCCCGACGACGTTCACCCCCCGACGACGTTCACCCCCCGACGACGTTCACCCCCCGACGACGTTCACCCCCCGACGACGTTCACCCCCCGACGACGTTCACCCCCCGACGACGTTCACCCCCCGACGACGTTCACCCCCTGACGACGTTCACCCCCCCACGACGTTCACCCCCCGACGACGTTCACCCCCCAACAACGTTCACCCCCCAACAACGTTCACCCCCCAACAACGTTCACCCCCCGACCACGTTCAACGTTCACCCCCCGACCACGTTCACCCCCCGACCACGTTCACCCCCCGACCACGTTCACCCCCCCGACCACGTTCACCCCCCGACCACGTTCACCCCCCGACCACGTTCACCCCCCGACCACGTTCACTCCCCAACCACGTTCACTCACCAACCACGTTCACCCCCTAACCACGTTCACCCCCCAACCACGTTCACCCCCCAACCACGATCACCCCCCAACCACGTTCACCCCCCAACCACGTTCACCCCCCAACGACGTTCACCCCCCAACGACGTTCACCCCCCAACTACGTTCACCCCCCAACTACGTTCACCCCCCAACGACGTTCAACCCACCACGACGTTCACCCCCCAACGACGTTCACCCCCCAACGACGTTCACCCCCCAACTACGTTCACCCCCCAACGACGTTCACCCCCCAACTACGTTCACCCCCCAACTACGTTCACCCCCCAACAACGTTCACCCCCCAACTACGTTTACCCCCTAACGACGTTCACCCCCTAACGACGTTCACCCCCCAACGACGTTCACCCCCCAACGACGCTCACCCCCCAACTACGTTCACCCCCCAGCTACGTTCACCCCCTAACGACGTTCACCCCCTAATGACGTTCACCCCCCAATTACATTCACCCCCCAACAACGTTCACCCCCCAACAACGTTCACCCCCCAACAACGTTCACCCCCCAACTACGTTCACCCCCCTACTACGTTCACCCCCCAACTACGCCACCCCCAACGACGTTCACCCCCCAACGACGTTCACCCCCCAACGACGTTCACCCCCCAACGACGTTCATTCCCCAACAACGTTCACCCCCTAACGACGTTCACCCCCTAACGACGTTCACCCCCCAACTACGTTCACCCCCCAACAATGTTCACCCCCCAACTACGTTCACCCCTCAACTACGTTCACCCCCCAACTACGTTCACCCCCCAACTACGTTCACCCCCCAACTACGTTCACCCCCCGACGACGTTCACCCCCCGACGACGTTCACCCCCCGACGACGTTCACCCCCCGACGACGTTCACCCCCCAACAACGTTCACCCCCCAACAACGTTCACCCCCCGACCACGTTCACCCCCCAACCACGTTCACCCCCCAACCACGTTCACCCCCCAACCACGTTCACCCCCCAACCACGTTCACCCCCCGACCACGTTCACCCCCCGACCACGTTCACCCCCCGACCACGTTCACCCCCCAACCACGTTCACCCCCCAACCACGTTCACCCCCCGACCACGTTCACCCCCCAACCACGTTCACCCCCTAACCACGTTTACCCCCCAACAACAGCATGGTACCATGCTACATCCATGCTACCATTCAATCCACCACCTTCGATTTCCATCCCTACTACATCCGTCCCACCAGGGCTACGCCTTTGACTTGCCAATCGTGCCGGGAGATGAGCGCTCGGTGGACAGGGTGAAGCCGGGGGAGGGTGCGCTGGTGGCGGTGGGGCTGCACAAGCAGGCCGTGTACCGCACTGAGGGGGGCGAGCTGAAGCAGTTCTCAGGTGAAAATATAGGGCTGAACACAGACACCGGGGGGTTAGCAGGTCAGTGCACAGCTGAAAGTAGTCATGATTCAGAAAGTATAGGAGTTCTGCCAAGCATGCTTCTCTGGAGAAGCTGACACGTACACTCACTAACATGGCCCTTGCTTTGGGATGTTGCAAAACGGTGAGGCTTTTGCTAACTTCATCTTACTCCTCGTTCCCCTCCCCTCCCATGTCCCTTCCTTTTGCCAGCCATCTGCCCGCACCTCAAGTGCGCGGTCAGGTGGAACCCCAACGACAAAACTTTCGACTGCCCGTGCCATGGGTCCCAGTTTGACACGTCAGGGAGGGTGATTCAGGGCCCAGCCAAGGCCAACCTCTCCCCCGTCTCCCGTGATGGCTGCTGTGGTTGATGGAGTGGAGACCCAATGGTTGTGTGTGAAGAGATGGAGAGGGATTGGCTGTGGTGGAAGAGGCTGAAAAGTTGGAGCTGTAGAGATACAGTGAAACCCAGAGTGTATATTGCATCTGCTGTACATTTGTTAGTATATCAGATACTGTAACATCACATCAGGGCTGATACATGATCTGTAGATTCAGTAGTAACAGCCGTGGAGCAGGGTTGTTATGAGTTGTGAAAGGAAGAGTGCGCAGAACTCAATAATACGGAACTGATTACAAAGTCTGAGAACACAACGAGGCCTAGGACTAATATAGCGAAGCTAGCTAGGCCGAGGTCGCGGGGTCGCGAGATGGTTGGGTGCAGGTTCGGGGTTGGGAAACCCGAAGGCGACGCGGTAGTGGCTCGGAAGGCGAGGTCGGCAGACCGAGCCTGGTTTTCCGAAAGTCGGGGTTGTACGCGTACAGTGTGACCCAGTAAGGAATCCGAAAAATTCCTTACAAGGGTAATGCAGTGCTGGATACACTATTGAAACCAGGGAAAACTCTAATGTACAAGATGCACATATGTCCGCCTACCTGTGGAGAAGAGGACTTACCTTCACTTACTTCCTTCTGCCACTTTTAGCGGCAGGGAGCTTACAGTGTTGGCAAAAATTGTGATGCGAGGACTTGTGACATTCATACATTCCAGCTATATACACACTACCCTGTCAAGAAGACAGGTATACCACTTACACAAGCTTTTACTGCCAGTGTGTGCCCAGCTGCAAGTGGCACTGGTGACAGGAGGTCAGAACAGTTACCATAGCATTTAACAGTCTCGCCTGGTTGGAGAGTGGTGGTTAAGCACACTTGCCTTGCCGCCAGTGGAGTTGTCACTGCCAGTACTGTGTTCATCTATAAATGGTCCCCACCATGTGTGGCAGCAGCGCAAACACCGACTCGCTGATGAGCTCCTGGATGAATCTCTCGCATTATTGAAACATGTTTCCCTCAATGCCAGTACAGATATCAGCGCCAGTACTGCGCCCATCTATGTATCGTCTCCACCATGTGCGGCAGCAGCGCCGACACCGACTCGTTGATGAGCTCCTGGATGAACTGCACTGCCGCCTCGTCATCCAGATCGAGACGGAACTTCTGCTGCAACTGTGGAGTGCAGAGGGAATGGGGGAGGGAGGAACGGCAAGTGGGAGGGTGTGGGGGGAGGGAGGGTAAGCGGGTGGATAGGACAGGTGGACATGAGCTCCTGGATGAACTGCACTGCCGCCTTGTCATACGAATCGAGATGGAACTTCTGCTGGAGCTGTAGGGGGGGGGGGGGGGGGAGGAGAGGAGAAAAGAGGGCGCGGAGGCGTAGTGGTTCTTGTGAGCGCATCAGGAAGAGTGCGTGGATGAGCTGCAGTGCCACCTCATAGTCTAGATCAAGACGGAACTTCTGCTGCAACTGTGCGGGGGAAAGGGGGGAGATGGAGAAGGGGAGGTGCCATGATTGCACACAGCACCAAGGCTATGACTACTACGACCGACCTTGGTTCGCAGGTGGTCGGGGTGGTGCGAGGCGATGGCAGGAGTGCCGGCATGCGCCCTGCGGTGGACGAGGTTGCGGAAGAGGCGGCTGCTGGCTCGCAGGATGTTGAATGCCGTGCAGCAGTAGGAGCGGAAGCGCACGTACTCGGGACTGAAAGAAGGGAGAAGGGAGGTTGGGCAGTGGGGGTGGGTGAGTGCAGAAGGGAGAAGGGTGGTAGCTGTCAGGATGCTGAAGGCCGAACAGAAGTATGGCTAAAGGGCTACAGGGTTAAAGTGGGTGAGTGGAGCAGGGGGGTTGGGTCAGGGATGGGAGAAAGGAGTCGGGGGGGTTGGTGAAGACAGGGCTTCTAGAAGCACACTCGACAGTACAGTGGACTGCAGAGTGAAATAAAACTGCCATCCAGGTGGCATCTTGTGTCCTCTCTCACCTTCTCCCCCCCCTCATGGCTTGGAGCATCCCCTCGCAGAGCTTGCCCATGCAACCCACACGCCCATCTGTACGTCTCAAACCACAGCATCCCTCTTTGCCCCCCATGGCGACCCTCTCTCACCTGCTCGCGCCCCCCACTGCGACCCTCTCTCACCTGCTTGCGCCCCCCATGGCGTCGAGCATCTCCTTGCAGAGCTTCATGGGCGGCGGGAACGGCTTGGGGTCCCGGCCAAAGATGTAGCCAAAGTCAATGTGGAAGAGACGCCCGTCCGTGCACAGCAGTAGATTGTCCAGATGCCTGGTGGAAGGGGAAGGGGGGGGTTGGGGGGGAGGGATGGGAGGGGAGGGACAGTGACAAGGGTTACTCAGACACAAGACGACGCAGCTGAGCGTGCTAGCAACGCAGCAGAGCCTGCTAGCCACGCAGCAAAGCGTGCTAGCAACGCAGCCGAGCGTGCTAGCAACGCAGCTGAGCGTGCTAGCAACGCAGCAGAGCGTGCTAGCCACGCAGCTGAGCGTGCTAGCCACGCAGCTGAGCGTGCTAGCAACGCAGCTGGGCGTGCTAGCAACGCAGCTGGGCGTGCTAGCAACGCAGCAGAGCGTGCTAGCAACGCAGCAGAGCGCGCAGCAGAGCGTGCTAGCAACGCAGCAGAGCGTGCTAGCCACGCAGCTGAGCGTGCTAGCCACGCAGCAGAGCGTGCTAGCAACGCAGCTGATCGTGCTAGCAACGCAGCAGAGCGTGCTAGCAACGCAGCAGAGCGCGCAGCAGAGCGTGCTAGCAACGCAGCAGAGCGTGCTAGCAACGCAGCAGAGCGTGCTAGCCACGCAGCAGAGCGTGCTAGCAACGCAGCTGATCGTGCTAGCAACGCAGCAGAGCGTGCTAGCAACGCAGCAGAGCGTGCTAGCAACGCAGCAGAGCGTGCTAGCAACGCAGCTGATCGTGCTAGCAACGCAGCTGAGCGTGCTAGCAGCGCAGCATAGCATGCTAGCAACGCAGCTGATCGTGCTAGCAACGCAGCATAGCATGCTAGAAACTCAGCTGAGCGTGCTAGCAACGCAGCAGAGCGTGCTAGCAACGCAGCAGAGCGTGCTAGCAACGCAGCTGATCGTGCTAGCAACGCAGCTGATCGTGCTAGCAACGCAGCTGAGCGTGCTAGCAGCGCAGCATAGCATGCTAGCAACGCAGCTGATCGTGCTAGCAACGCAGCATAGCATGCTAGAAACTCAGCAGAGCGTGCTAGCAACGCAGCTGAGCGTGCTAGCAACGCAGCTGAGCGTGCTAGCAACGCAACTGAGCATGCTAGCAACGCAGCTGAGTTAACGCAGCTACTTTCCTGTCGCCCATGCCGAGAATACATGGCAACATAACAGCCAGGGCATTTTAGAATCGTGTCAGCAACTTGCCTGTCGCCCACGCCGAGGATGTACATGGTAACGCAGTAACCAGCGCAGCTGCGTATGAAGGTGTCGAGGCAGGTGGGCGTGATGCCGTAGGGTGACTCGGCGTCCGGGTGGAACTGGTGCAGGTAGCGCTCTATTGACCGGTACTCCGCCAATACCTGTACAGAGGAGGGTGGGTGGGGGAGTTGGTGAAAAAATTGCTACTTGTGAGGTGCATCAGGACTGGAAGGAGGGTGCGGAACTGGAGCAGGTGCTAGGGCCCACACTCCAGACTGCAGTTTGCAGGCAAGGAATCACAAACACTTGAAAACACCTGAGAGTACCTGAGCTAACCTGAGAGCACCTGAGAGCACCTGGGGAGGGCAGGCGGACCTGAGCGAGGGGCATGGAGGGCACGAACTCGACGAAGCCCTGGTCTGCAGCGGTGGCGAGCACGCGGTAGGGCGTGAGGCAGAGGTCGAGATTCTCCTTCTTGAGCAGCTTGTCCATGAGCGTCACCATCTGAATCACCTGCTCTCATGGCCCATTTGGCCATGTATGTGGCAAGAGGGGGGATGCGGGAGTGAGGTAGTGGTGAGGCAGGGAGGGAGTGGGGGAGGGAGGTAAGGAGAGGAAAAAGAACGGCACATAATCCGCGACAACAAGCAGGCTCGTTCGTTTCAGGAAATCAGAGCCTAAGAGAGTCTTGCCATGGTTGGTGCGATTTCTTCTCACCGGTCAAACTCTCCTCAGGTCATCTCACCAGCTGGTCCTGCCTCAGGTCATCTCCCTTCTTGAAAATGACATGGCACAGGCCGCCATCCTCCTTCCTGAACGCCAGCTTCAGAGGATGCAGCATGCTCTTGAACACACTTGAATCCTCTGCTGCTATCCCCACCACCCGGATCGATGGCTCCACTGGCAGGGCTAGAGGCTGTGGGAGTGTTGGGTGAGGAGAAAATGAGTGGAGGGGTGAGCAAGATGGTGTGGCAGGAGAGTGAAAGTGGACCTACTCCATCTCACTCGTAAGCCAGCACACAATGAAACCAACTCGGGTAAGCCTCATGGTGCCCGCCAGGGCATTGATGGCCTGCATGGTGCCCGCCAGGGCTGAATCCCAGCTACCCACCTGAGCGAAATTAGCGAGGCTGCCGTCGGTGTCAGCAGAGAGCAGCGCGCGCAGCTGCTCCACCTTCCGGGCAGTGCTGCCCCTCACGGCATTGATGGCCTGCATGGTGCCCGCCAGCGCTAGATCCAGCTCACACTGCCGCATCAGCTGCGCGTGCACCTCCGCTCCCTCTGCTCCCAACTGCGGAATGGGGATGGGAGGGAGGGTGGAAAGCGAGAGCAATGCAAGGCTTGGCCCACGCATGACAATAGCCTAGCAGGGCTACCGTCAGTGTCAGCCGTGAGCAGCGCTGCAGCTGCTGCTGCCTCGCACGACGTTGATGGCCTGCATGGTGCCTGCCAGTGCTGCATCCAGCTCACACTGCCTCATCAGCTGTGCGTACACCTTCGCTCCCTCTGCTCCCAGCTGCGGTGGGAGGAGGGGAGGCAGCAGAGGGAGATGCAAGAATTGGCCCATGCATGATAATAATCTAGCACGGCTGCCATCAGTGTGAGCAGGGGGGGGTGCATTGGAAACAAAGCGTGGAAGAAAGAAGGGGATACTGGCAAGCACGTTCATGGGAAAGGAGGCTGACCTCGAGCAGGGTGGCAAGGAGATGATCATGCACGAAGGCGTAGCGCGAGGCAAACACGTGGTCCTGTGGTAGAAGCAGCATGGGTTGAGCAGCTTGGGAGAGGATAAGTGGGAGCGGTTGATTTGGGAGTGGATAAATGAAAGGTAGACATGGTCCATGAACGTGTAGTTGGAACAAGGCATGGCAGCCAAAGGATGCAACAAGTAGATTGAAGTCCATCCGGTTTGGTAGAGCGCTAGGTCTTGGAACCAATTCGATCATCAATTTCGCCCACATACCTCCTTTCATTCCTTGAGAGCGCAAAACAGCGTTGACTCATGTGTTTACAGAACGGGGTGCCTCACCTGGCGCTCCACCTGCAGATACCAGTGAAGGAAATTCGCCAACTCAAAGTTATGGCAGCCTGTAGGGAGGATGGAACAAGTTACAGAGAAGGGATGAGCTCAGAGCGCATGAGTGAAAACAAGGCACCCATGCAGAACAGGTAAGATTAGGCATTGAAACACTGGGTCCACAGAGACTCAGAAGAAAGGACGAGGTTCTTACCTAAAGCAAATTGTTATGAATAGTCCTACCTCGAGAGATGAGGAAGAGCGCAAGGTTGGAGAAGTCAGAGCGCTCGTATCGGAGGGCGTGTACGAGCTGCAGCAGATAGCTCTTCAGCTCCTCGTCTCCTGCTCGCTCCAACACCGTCACCGCGTATGCACGTACCTACACCAGTGGAGAAGAGGGCGGGGGGCGTTGCATGAGTGAAAGCAGCAAAGGGTGGGAGTGCATGGGAAACAAGCCTGAGTGGCTTACAGTGAAGCATGGATGGGACACAGACGTGCAAGGAATACAAAACACAACAGCTCCACTGAGAGGTGGTTGTGTTGTGTATGTTTGACGAAGCACTCACCTCCTCACATGAGAACGTGGGGCAGAGCAGTTCGAGTGCATCAGCAGTGTCAATGGGAACCCATGCATACATCAGCTCCGTGCCCTCTCGTGCCTCCTGGAGGCGGGAAAGAGACACGTAGAAACATTCAGGAGTGTTAACAAGAGTCCACGTAGTGTCTTCAGCAGAATCGGCACAGTCCTACAGGCATATCAGTAGCAGCCAGTGCTCAGAGGAGACAGATCGAAGACGGGCATAGGAGTGTGTACAGGCAGGCATGCTCACATGCGTCCAGGCACACCTTCCCCCCACCCACCCCTGCAGAGTGGCTGCCCAGCCAACTGCCCTTAGCGCAGCACTACCTGCCACGGAACTTCAACCCCATCCCCAACCCTGCAAGCATACCGCTCACCTCCGCATCGCTCCAGTCAACGCAGCGCAGGAAGCGAGTGAGGGCGCGGCGATTGGTGGTGAGGGAGAAGCGGAATCGCCACAGCAGCTGCACGTCCTCTGGGGAGAGAGACTGGGTGGGTGGATAACTCAGGATAGTGGCAATGGCCCTGCCACACACGACATTGGAGGCTTTAATAAGAATTCTAGCGAAAATCTGAGGTACTTTTTGAAATTCATCTGAGGTACTTTTTGAAATTCTCAGAACTTACTTTCTCTCAGCGAGGTTGGGCTTGAGATCCCGCTCCATGTTACCGCGGGTGAGCATGCGAGTGAGCTTGAGCTGCTTGGCCTCTGCCGGGTTGACTCGCTGCTCTATCTCCGGGTCCCACAGCACCACCACCTCGTTGCTCGCTGGGATGGGAGCCACGCCTATTGGTGCCGCCCCTGTGACGATTGCACTGCTGCTGATGGCTCCTCCTGCTGCTCCGCCGCTGCCCACCCCTGCCACTCCTGCTGCGCCTAGCTCCTGGAGTGGTAAAAGTGGGCAGGGAGCGGCAGTGAAGGGAAGAGACGGGCAGAGAGGGTGCAAAGAGGAGGATGCAAAGAGGTGGTGGTGAAGGCTGCGATGTGTTGCTGATTGTGGGTTCTGAAATTGTCTCGACAGAGCCAGCAACAGTGTGCTGGATTCGATTAAACCAATAGCAAGAGCTGACGCAAATCTAGGTAGTAGGGTGAAGCGCCAGAAGAAGTGGTGAACCACTAAGGAAGTGGCAAAGCACAATAAACTACAAATGGGTCTTTGGCATCACTTATGTCATCAAACCATTTACCACCTATCAAGCTTCCCATCCCCTGCCAATTCTATACCTGAAACGCCACTGGATGGTCAAACGTTGGAAACTCCACGACCAATCTCGCCGCCATGCTTCCCCGCTTCCTGGAGCGTTCCTTCTCCTCCCCCTCGAGAATGGTATCAATGGCAGCAAAGGCGAGATCATCCAGCCAATCAGCTCTTGCCATCTGGCCGCGGTTCACCAACCTCTCCAACCTCTCAGTCTCCCCTTGCTCCTCCTTAGGAACCTGGAAGGACAGGATACAGAGAATCGAGAGACGAAATTAGTATGAGCAGCAGCTAATGCTCCACACGAAATGGGGAGCTATTTGGCTCTTTACCTTCCCTGGTGTTCTGCAGGGCACTCCTCCATCCGCCTTCTTCCCCAGCCATACGCGTGCTTTAAACCGCCCCATTTTCAGCATATGCTGCATCTGAGCTCCTGCTGCCAGGCCAACACCCGAGCCTGGGGTAAGGCCTGGTAGTGAGCCAAAATCGGCACCAAAGCAGGCGCCAGGATAGGAAGAGAGGTCGTCTGGGACGCTCGGAAGAGGTGTGTGGTTAGAAAGCGGTGACGATGATCTTGGTGAGGTGGAGGGGGGTGAAGGGGGAGGGTGGGCTGACATGGTGTGGGAGAAGAGTGGGAGTGTGGTGCCACCAACCACACGTGGCCTGTTTTGACACTTCAAGTCCCAGATCTGTAAAGAGGTCAGCAGGAAGAAGGGATTCAGGGTGTGTGGACATAAAGTCGTTATAGGTGAAGAGTCAACTACTTGAATAGCTCAACACAACCGCAGTGAAAGGTGAGCTTGGAAACAGAATCTTACAGTGAAAGCAATGAAGGAATACGCAGAGATGTCACAGTACTTGGCTGTCAGTAGGACCCATTCGTCCCATCGCCATTTCCCACCATCGGCCTCACTCCATGTTGCATTCCTGCCAGTCCGAGCAGCGCCAAAGCAAGAAAGATTCACAGTGTGGTCATTGGGTTATATGCGCACATGGAGAGATTTGTCAAAATCAGACACGCACACTCTGGAAGTGACAGCTGCATATGAGACCTGCTCTGGGCCTGTTTCACAGAAACCGGTTAATTTCTCGTACTAATTACCAGCCAATTACCCCGTGACGACGGGTTGGCCAAACGACACTCCGTCAATGAATAGCTCGCACTCCACGCAAAGAGCACGTGTCTCCTGACAGCTCGGGTCACTGAGGCATGAGTCGTCTGCACTTGGCCGCCTTCCGCCATGCGCTTCAGTGGAGGAGCTGTGCTCGCGAGCGCAAGAGGTAGCGTCTGCACTCATGAAGTGAGAAACGCCGTGGGCTCAGTCAACGGAGAAATTTAGCAGCCACGGGAGAAGAGGGGCATGATTATACAAGACAAGGTCTTCATAACAAGTGGTGGGTTGGTCACAGCGGCTGCATACCTCCAGCTGAGCCGGCAATCGCGTCGATGTTCCCTAGAAGACTCTCGACTTTAAAGCGTATGGGTAAGTTGATGTCGCACGAGAGGAAAAAACGGAAGTCCGACGAGCTCGCCATAAGAACGACTTTCTAAAAAAAACGACAATAAAAGTCGGTCCACAGTAGGATGCAATAGCTGGAACGAGTTGCTTGTCGACGTTTCTTGATGTGCCTACAACTCTCTAACGATAAATCAGAACCGTCGGTATCCAAAACAGCCTCATAAACGACCGCCAGGGAATCCGAAACCACGAATCCCAGCGCAGAATAAGTCGACTGTTAATGATGAAGGATGATGGTGACAACACACTTTGGGAACGGAGGGGCCATGGTTGATCATTCGGGCTTGGGAACTCCACACAGGAATAGAAATTTGTGATGCCGCCAGCAACTTCTGAAAATGACCTTCGAATTCCATGCACAACTTGGTGTCTCGCTGACGTGATTTATGCGAAAGTGTGCGCATCACATAACCATGCTAAACGAAACCTCAAATTGTAACACTTCTCTTCTCTTCTCAAAGTACACCCACTTCTGACAACGGTAATCATCTGCTGATTCTCAATAGCAAATCCATTTCACTGATTCCTTGTTTCCCTGAATCCCTTGTCAGATCAGGTAGTCCTGTGCGGTGCGTGCCTGAACCGACTCTGGTATTCGAGCATTAGATTCCTCGAATAAAGCTGTGAGGAATTTTCGCAAGAGGAATTCGAGCGTGTTGACGCTTATTCTCGATTCGTTCAGTCCGGATTTGCGGTAGCAAGGTCGACTGATCAAAGCCATGGCAGACGCAATGATCACGGAGACTCCACCTGCTGCATCATCGTCGTCGTATCCCGCCACGCCTGAATCCCTCGAGCGTGCTTCTGAGGTCGCATCTACCGATCCCTTGGCCGCTGCTGCGATCTATCGCGGGATTATCCAGGATGATGCCACGTCAGCCGATGCGCTTCGGACGAAGGAGACCGCCGTATGCAGTCTCGGCGAGATTCTTTCCAAACAAGGAAAGGCTGAGGAGCTTCGTGACCTCCTGACCGACTTACGTCCTTATTTCGCTCTTATTCCTAAGGCGAAGACCGCTAAGCTTGTCCGTACCGTGATCGATCTAGTAGCGAAGATACCTAACAGCACGGATGTGCAGCTCGCCTTGTGCAAGGAAATGGTCGAGTGGACCAAGAAGGAGAAGCGAACCTTCCTTCGTCAGCGAGTCGAAGCGAGACTCGGCGCGCTGTACATGGAGACTAAGGACTACCAGACCGCGCTGGCGTTAACTAGCAATCTTGTCAGGGAGGTAAGGCGGCTCGACGACAAGCTCCTATTGGTCGACATTGATCTTCTCGAGAGCCGGCTCCACCATCAACTTCGGAACATTCCTAAGGCTAAAGCGGCGTTAACTGCGGCACGAACTGCGGCGAACTCGATTTATGTGCCGCCGGCGCAGCAGGGTCAGATTGACATGCAGTCAGGCGTGCTGCACGCAGAGGAGAAGGACTACAAGACGGCGTACTCGTACTTCTTTGAGGCCTTTGAGTGCTTTAACGGACTGGACGACCCCAAGACCGTTCCCTGCCTCAAGTACATGCTGCTCTGCAAGGTGATGCTGCTGCATCTGAGGCTGGTCTGTGCCTGGCTGCAATTCTGGGAATTCCTATTTTAACATAATTAACAGCGCTTGTTTAGCGTGATGCAGTTCGGCAATTTCCTCATCAGTTGTTCAATTTTCTTTCATTGCTGGCTTATTTCACCTTTATGCCTTCCTTACAGATCATGCTGAATCAAGCTGATGACGTTGCAAGCATCATTGCCAGCAAGGCAGCTCTTAAGTACACGGGTGATGAGGTGGACGCTATGAAGACCGTCGCAACAGCGCACAGTCAGCGGTCGCTCAAGTCTTTTGAGGAGGCCTTGCGCACTTATAAGCACCAGCTTTCTGATGACCCAATTATCAGCCGCCACCTGGCAGCGTTGTACGACTCCCTGCTGGAGCAGAATCTGCTGAGGCTGATTGAGCCATACTCATGTGTGGAGATCGCTCACATCTCATCTCTGATTGGCCTGCCATTGGAAAAGGTATGCATTTGGGACAGGACAGGTTGAAATGTGCTGGAAGAATTTCCAAACATGCAGCTGATTTGTCGTTCCTATTTTCAGTGAAGATTGCATGTCTGGTGTGATATCTTATGGACTGGTAAGTGCAGATGAGTCATCCCATTGCCTGGGTTCACAGGTGCAGAGTGAAGCCTACGGATGTGAAGACATATTTCACTTGTCTTTACATTTCCCCCTTCCCTTGCAGAAACATTAATTCCGTTTTCTATGTCAATGCATGCCTTCCATCCCCTCATCCCCTTTCCTCCTACACTCCGCCCTTTCCCCCTGCCTCTTCCGCCATCTGCCTCTCAGGTGGAGTCGAAGCTGTCTCAGATGATCCTGGACCGTAAGTTTGAGGGCACATTGGATCAGGGAGCAGGCAACCTGGTGGTGTTCCAGCCACAGGTGCCGGACGCGCTGTACCCAGCAGCCATAGACACCATTGTGCACATGAACCAGGTCGTCGACAGCCTCTTCGTGCGCTCCAAGCGCATCATGGCATAGCTCACTCTGCTGTAGGTTGGTTACCGTACAACAGTTCTGAATTCTGGTGGTGTTGTGCTGATTGTCATGTGGTTAGCCAGAGTGGCATGCCCTAACGCATTCTTTTGCACTGCAGTGTGTACCAAGTTGACATCATGTACATTGGCCAGGAAATGAACAGGATTTTCTTTCTACAATGGACTGTCAAATTTGGATAGATTCGAATAGACGGGTTCCAGGAAACACTCTGCTGGGCAAAGACTCTGGTGAAGTTTTGTTTCTTGGAAAAGATGCTTGTTCTAGAAGTTTCACTGACTATGGAACAAGGGGTCTGCAGCAGGGCCCTCGTCAGACCAAATTGGTCTGATTTTCTGATTTTCAGACCTTGATTTTGGGTTTCATCTGATTTTTGCCATGTACAGCGCCGACGCGGGGGGAAAACGAATTTCCGACTCGTCGTTTGCTTCGTTGTCACCGACAGAATGCTTAAATAGATGTGATTCGTTGGTAAACCAATCACATCCCTTATGCGCCAATCACCCGCCACCAGTGCAGCACAGGAACGCACCGCACACACTCACGACAAGGACACCCACCTCACCCCATCTCACCCACCCCGAACCTGCATCTAAGTGCGTGCATGGTGCCCCCTCGTCGCGCCGCGTAGCTGATGGGTGGTGAGAATGAGAGGGCCTTCTTTTATGGCTCTCTCTTGATGACCCCACCGTACCCACCCCCTAGGCGAGCTGCACTGTCAATCCACGCCTCTCGCCTTGGTTTTCTCAAACCCTAGCTAGCAACGTTGGAGCTCGGCACGCTCTCCCCTTTCAGCCATGGCCGGCCTTGCAGAAGGGGTAGGTTGCGATGATGATGCAGGCAGCGATGATGAATTAGACGGCCTAGAGGAAGCCAGGACGGGGCTTGATATGCTCCTGCGCTCGCTTGCCCCTGGTGTCCTCGCTCCCAGGCTTCCTACTGCAAAGCCAGCACTAGTCGAGAGGGTGCACCGCGACCACCCACCGGTTTCTTCAAGCTCGGATTCCATCCGGGGTGAGCCTGCTGCGCCGGCTGCCGTCTCCGACACGGTGGTTCTCGACTCGCCAACAACAAAGTCCACTGGCCCGCGCAACTTCAAGCTCAAGCAGTCGACGCTGAGCTGGGCAAAACCTTCTTCGAGCACCGCCGTCGAGCAACCTGTCGCGAACAACACAGCCCCTCTTCCATCCTTGGTCATAGACATTTCAGAGGCCATCGAGGCAGTCTATGCAGACGCTCTTTTGAAGTACAAAACCAAGTGGTCTGAGAGGTTCCCGTGGCTTGTGCTAACCAAATCTAAATCTGGTTTCCCTGCTTTTAAGTGCAGTGTCTGCACCAAGCATGCCGGAGTCAGGGGGCGATGTGGCCGGACAGGGCGAGGGGCGACCGACGTGCAGACGCAGGCGTTTCGCAAGCATGCCGGCACGACGAAACACAGGCTGGCGATGGAGAAGCAAGAGGCTCTGCTGAACGCGGCCTCAAAGCAGCCACGGATCGACCAACATCGAGCCGCCATCGATGCTGAGAAGAACCGCGTCGTGGCGTTGCTCGACTCCATGCTGTTCGTCAGTTCCTGCGATGCGCCAATGGGAACATGGGTGAAGCTGGTGCAGTACCTCGCGCGTAAGGGTGTCCAGGGCTACCCTAAGAAGGGATATGGCACCTACTACACAACGTGAGTAGTAGCCACATTTGTATTGCGTTGATGTTTTGATGTTCAACCCTAAACCCTCTTCTAATCTCTTGTCTTTGGTTTCCCTACGTGTAGGTACGGCTTCGGTGAGCTCACGCAGGCCCTTGCTACCTGGCTACAGACAACTCAGCTGGAGCACATCCTGACAAGCCCTTTCATCGGCATCTGCATCGATGAAAGCACGGATCGACTCCGGGGGAAGCACATGATCTTGTATGCCTCGTTCATCCGCGACAACGTGCTCGTGACCGAGTTCATGCAGCTGATCACGGTGGAAAAGGCGGACGCTTCTTCACTTCTGAGCATCCTGCTTTCCCACTTGCAGTCCGTCGGTGTCGATCTACAGAGAATTTCTGGCATTAGCACCGACGGCGCAAGAGTGATGATGGGGTCTAAGGCCGGCCTGGTTGTCCGCCTGCGACAGAAGATTCCGCACCTTGTCTCCGTTCACTGCATCGCTCACAGGTAAGTGAGCTCTGCTGCTACGTTTCCAGCCCGTTACGCCATGTGGTTCGAGCTCGTGTTTAACGTCTTGAGTTTGATGTTGTACTTGCAGGGAGGCACTTGCAGCGAAGGATGCAGCAGAGGAGCTCCCCGTCTTCGACATGGTCGACGATCTCATCCGGGCAGTGGCGGATTTGCTTGGTCGGTCGGGACCGCGCCACGCACGGTTCATGGACCTGCAGGAAGTCATCACCGAAACGAGCCTTGAAGTGCAAGGCATCCATTCCGTTCGGTGGTTGTCAAGGGGGGATGCCGTTCGTCGCCTTGTCGCTGTTTTGCCGGCAGTGATTGTGCTGCTGAAGGAGCTTAACAGCAAGATGTACAAACTGGCAAGCTCCTACCGTTTTCACTTCTTCCTTTACTTCCTGGCTGATGTGCTTGAGCAGCTCAACATTTTGAACAAGACCTTCCAGCAGAAACAGGTGAGGTGGTGCGAATATAGCTACGCATGTCCCCACATTAACCCTTTTAACTGTGTCACGGTGTGCCTCTGTCTGTCCAGCTCGATCTGGTGTCTTTGCATGCGCAGATCAAGCGGACAACGCGTCACATCGAGAGCCGCTACGTGGACTGCGGCGATGACTTCGGCGGCGGCATGAGCCAGTGGTTGTCACCTTTCCTGCTGCGCCATGGCCCGGGGTGTAGCCGCGAAGTGAAGGTGGAAGGTGTCGACAGTGACGGCCGACCATCTTCTATCACGTTCACCCTTCACGACGAGCCCGTGGACTCGTACAGCGGCCCGGAGGACCACGACGGGTGCATCCAGTTGTGCACCGAGTTCGCAGAGAGGATCGTGGCGAACCTGGAGGGAAGGCTCGGTGATCTCGACTCCCTCTCTGGAGTCCGCCTGTTCACACCAGATGCATGGCCACAAAGCAAGTCTGAGCGGAACGCTCGTTGCCTGGAGTGGCTTCAGTCGCTGGTGACGATGTTCAAGGCTCAGGACCATGAGGACATCTTGCCAGGTCTGTTGTGGCGCCTTTGTGAACCTTTGATATCGTATCCATGCTTGAAAATCCTTTGTGGTGCACCTGTTTGCTCATGTCATGTGCCTCATCTTAACCCTCCCTCCCTCCCACCAGGCATCAACAAGAGGCAGGCAGACAAGGAGCTTCGCCTCTTCTGTTCAGTCCTTGCACGTGCCCCCAAGGAAGAGAGGGGCTTCCACAGCGGACTATCGGCGATCCTCAAGATGCCAGACTGGCGGGAGAGCTACCCCAATCTGGTGCAGCTCTGGGTGGCGGTGGCTGTGATTCCCCTCAGCACTGTGGAGTGCGAAAGGGGATTCACTCGGCAAAACGTGATCAAGACATGGCGGAGAGGGGGGATCAAGGACGCGAGGCTGGGGGACCTCATGTGTCTGTCCCTCATGCAGTACAAGCCCAACAACGATGAGGTAGTTGAGATCTGGCGGAGTTACAGAAAGCGCAAGCCTTTCAGCAATGCTCCCATTCGCACCCCAATCCCAGGCGAGAACAAGAAGGGCAAGCACGAGGAGGAGCCAGTAGATGTAGATGATGAGGAGGAGCCGGTAGGAGATGCAGGAGGTAGTTCTAGTGATGAAGATGAAATGAGCAGCTAGCTAATGTCATGTATGTGGTGTAGTGTTTCCCTGTTATGCCTGCTAAATTTAATGAAAAAATTGCTCAACATGGATCAGCCAGAGTGTATTAAGTGAGGCTGATTAGTCAGCGTTTTTTTTTTTATACTTGTCTGAACTTTCAGTTTTTTTTTTACAACCAACTCTGATTGATCAGCTTAACGTTGGCTGCTAAGGCTGACGTATCAGCCAAGCCAAAAACGAATCTGAGGCCCTGAGAGCAAGCCTTATACTTAGTCTGAAATTTCAGATACGGTAGCGGGTTGCAATTCGTCTGATACCGAACCCCCTCCCCCCCCCGACCCCTCGCTTCTCTAAGCCCTTCGATGCCCTTGCTCCTCTTCCAGGCCTAGTCCAGACCTTCTCCCCCTCCCCCCCAGCCTTAGGTCCCCTCCCCAGGTCCCCTCCCCATGCCCCTTGTGAAGTCTCGCACCAGCCCAGCCCCCCCTTCCTTCTCGCATCCCTCCACCCAACCTGATCCCTCGCAGCACCTCAATGCCACGTGCATGCCCCTCAACAGCCACACGCCTGTCAGCTAGCGAGCTCTCAGCGCCGCGCCATGGGCGCGTTCATTCAAAAACAAGTGTGATTATGCTAGACAAGGGTGTTAACTGAATCAGACTACGCAAATCTTATAGTCTGAAAAATCAGACTAAGCTCCAACATTCGTCTGGAAAATCAGACCAGAAAAATATGCCCATCTGATCGTCAGACGGAACGATTTTTTACTTAGGTGTTTTCAGACAAGCCCAAATCCTAGCAAGAGCCCTGGTCTGCAGGACTCTCAATAACTCTGCATTTTTGCTCCAATTCAAATGCGATGGTGCAAGCACCTCTCAATCCTCGTTTTTTGGAGCCAATAAATTATCAACACCTGGCGAAAGCAGCCATTGCTCAAGGTCAGCACCAGAGGCCTCATAGGAGCCGGGGTGGAAGCGGTGGAGGGAGAAGGGCGCTGTGAGGTCCCTCAGCAGCAGCGCCTCCACCGCTGCCTTCACCAGCGACGCCCCCTGCACCCGGCTGCGCTTGCCCCACCCCGTCACCACCTCCACCTTCCCCGGCCGCCGCCACTGCAGCTGTATTTTGCCCGGGGATGCATCTGCTGGCTCCACATTCGAAATTGGAGCTTCCTCTTCAGCATCCTCGATATTCTCTGCTAAATCCGCTTCTTTAACTGTGACATCAGTTCCTCCTGATACTTCCAACGATGAATCAAAAGCACCTGATGAAGCAGCAGAGGCCACCACAGCCTGCCGCATCTTCTCCAACGCCCACCGGGTCACTGTCACTGCTGTACCTGCTGACACACCATGTAGGTCCAAGACACATTTCCCCTCCCGCCCGTAAATCGCGGGTAGCCGAACAATGTTTGGGAACAGCTGTAGTTGCGTGCAGCAAAGGTCCCACAAGCGAGCTGCCTGCTCATGCCGCCCAAATTTATGTAAGAAAGCAATGCATGCCTGTGCAAACGCCCGCTGGCAACTGGCTTCAGTCTTGGCGATATCATCCCCTCTCAGCCTACTCTCCACCTCCTGCCACCGCTCCTCCTCCCATTCCCTCACCACTTCCCTCACCTCCATTTCCACTAAACAAGCCGCTATCACCCTTGCAACAACATCCCTCCTGTCATTTCCGCAATCAATTTCCTCAATTCCTCCCTCACTCCCATTCTCCACAAATAGGTTGGACAATGCACGAGGCGGTTCACGGCTGTGCACTTCCCTCACCTCCATCTCCAATAAACCTGCCGCTATCACCCTCGCAACACCATCCCTCCTGGCCTTTCCACAGCTACTCTCCGCACTCCCTCCCTCATATACACCCTCACTCCCTCCCTCACTCCCGCCCTCGTCCACAAACAGGTGGGACAATGCGCGAGGTGGCTCAAGGCTCTTTAAGAGCAGCTGGAGCACGGCGTGAGCCGGATGCTCTGTTGCTTCCAACAGCCGCATCAGCCGACTCACAGTGTTTCCAGCTGTAGAGACCATGCACACATTGAGCAGCATCACGTATGTCATAAGGTTGGGAGGTTCACTAGGAAGCCAATTGGGCGCCTTGCCTCCTGTCTGGTTTAGTGTTTGACCTGACCAGAGGCTGCTACTGTCACCACGGACCCAGGGTAATGTTGGAACTGCGGCTTGGGCGAGCATGCGTTTGTCTGAACCAGAGTGGTCCTTTCTTACCAACCCCACCTGCCCCACCAAGTCCCGCCCATTTTTAAACGCAGAAAGCACCTCCTCTGCTTCGTCAAACATCTCCCCGCTGACAAGCGCGACTAGGAGAGCATTGTAAGCTGACGCGTTGGGCCGGCATCCCGCGGCCACCATGCGTTTGAACCACATGGCGGCGCGCTCGGGGTTGCTCTCCTGGGCCCACATGAGCACCATGGTGGCCCACGCCACGGCGTCCGGCTGCATCCCCGCCACCAGCATCGCCTCAAACGTCGCCTCTGCCTCGGAGATTCGACCCGCCTCACTGAGAAGGCTCACTGCCAGAGTGTAGGACACCAGGCTGGGAGCCGGCCAGATGGAGAGAGGGGGACTCGGGGTAGTGGTAGTGGTGGAGGCTGGAGATGCTGGCAGTACTGATGGTGCAGGGGTTGCTGCAAAAGCAGCAGCTTTGGTGTGTGCACCTCTTGCAGCTGTTGCTGGTGCTCCTGAGGCGATTTGGGGCTTGAGACGGGTCATCTGTGCTGCAGCAGCAACAGCCACAGGGGAAGCAGAGGAAACAAACACCAGGAGCAGCAGGAGCAGACGACAGATCAGTGTCACGCTGAGACATCTCAACAAAACCACAAGGTATTCCAGCACCCCCACTACACCCTCCCCTGATCCATGCCCTTCCCCCATTACCATTTTGTTCTCTTTCTCCTCCTCCTCCGTCTCTCCCTTGTCCTGCCCCAATAGTAACAGCAGCCAGGCACATGCGGTCAAAAACTGCCATGGCATCATCAATCCTGCCAGCCGAACCATACACATCCATGAGGCTGTTGACACAGCGCACATCAGGCTGCATCTTGCGCTTAATCATCTCCTTGAACACCATCTCAGCCCCTAGAGTGTTGTTAAGGCGGCCATAACATGTGATTGCGGTGTTGTAGATGACACTGTCCAGTGTGTGGCCTGCATCCCGCATCTCTCTGAACGCCCTGATCACGTCACGGTACCGACCCATTTTATAAAGCACGTTAACTCGAGCCCTGGAGGGAGTGTGGTGCGTGGCAGTGGGAGGGGTGGTGGGACACTATCAGTGGCACGTGGGCAGTGGCATCTTTGGCAAGCAGCATGCAGATTGGATTGCAGACAAGACGCAGCCATCATGAGCGTGCACATGCAGACACGCACGCGCGCGCGCATGCACACACACGCATGCATTTACGCAAGCACACATGCACACACGCACGCACGCACACACACAAACACACACACCCAATCGTAACAGTGTTGTCTGGGAAACCTCGGAGTTTCATCTCGGCCAGAGTGGCGAGAGCATGTTCAAACCTCCCAGCACGGGCATAAGCAGAAGCGAGCGCCTGCAAAGTAAAGGCGTTGTGCTCGCACCCATCCTCCTCCATCTCCTCTAAAACCCCCTTCAGACTCGCCGCGTCCCTCGCCCGACCCAACAGGCCAAAGAGGCTCGAGTACACATACGTGTCCGGCTTCATCCCCTGCACGTCTTTGGCCCACCGGAACAACGCCAGACCGGCGTCAGCGTCCCAAAGCGTTCGAAGCACCTCCGTCACGTGGTAGGCCGTCACCTGACCCAGTGAGCTGTGGCCCGGCATTAAGGTTGCACTATGTGGGCTGTTGTTGGAACAGTTGCGTCTCAACTCCTCTTCCCCGTTCCTGCTCACCGAACCTGTTGCTTGGACTCTTCTCATGCTCTTCATGCTGTCGGCGTTGATGCTGTGGCCTTCTTGCTGGTTCGTCCACTGCTGCTGCAGCAGCGCCACCATGTCACCCATGGCCGTTGGCCTGCCTCTCACCCTCTTTTGAGTTTGAACATTGACTTGCACAGAGGAAACATCAGGAGGGAAAGAGGTGGCAGGGGACGAGGCGCTACGGGAGGCTGCAGAACTGGGAACAGCAGGAGGAGCCGCAGACGGCCGGGAAGTTTGGAGGGGAGCGAGCATGTTGAAAAGCAAAGCCTCCATGCTCCTGGTCCACTCCTTCTCGCCTGCCTCCGACCTCCTCCCCTCTGCGCCTCTCGCTGCTGCAGCACCTGCTGCTTCTCTCTCCCCCTCTGCTCTCCCTCCTCCGCCTCCATTTCCTCCTTTTCTCCCTTGCCTTCTCCCTCCTCCTGCTCCGTTCGCCATCCCATTCCAACCCCCCTCAGGCCAAGGGTCCCTCTCCCAGCTTACCTCTGCTGCTTCTCTAATAAACACATCTGCTCTTCCCGCTGCTCGAACCGTCTCTCCTGCTGCCGATGCTGCTGCTGCTGGAGGTGAAGATGGACGTGCGGGTCCTAGCAGCGCTGCTTCTGGCGTCAACCGTTCAGCAGCAGCTGCGCCTGCTGCTGCCAGGGGCCGCCCTCTCTCTGCCCTCCGCGTGAAGCCTCTGGAGTGGATGCTGGTAGGAGCAGCAGCAGCTGATGGCGGTACTGCTGCAGCTGCTGCTGCTGCTGCTGCGCAAGGAGAACCATCTGTGGCACGGTCAACTGCGTATGGGTGTCGAATCGTCTCGAATCGAGGATCGGTGGGAGCAACGTGCCGTTGCGACAGAAAGAGTGACGGCTGCGACGGAAGCCGTGCATGCGACGAAGACGCAGACGACGGCACTTCAAGCGAGGACAGGTGCGAGGGAATAGATAGGGGTTCTAACGGGTAACGGTCGTTTACGGCCGGTTTAGACACGCTAGACCCGCTGGCAGCTAAGACGGCTTCAACGGTCTTACAAACCGAGAAGACGAACCGAGGCCGAAGCATGTCACCGACGGTGCTGGAACTTGTCCGAAGCATGTGAAGCGGGAATCAGAGTCTAGTGGGAAGGATGGTCACTCGGCGGAGTTACCGGTAAGTGTTACAACCATGATTGATCACAAACCTTACACGCAAGTAGAAACTCCCACTCGGCATCCATGTATTGATTGATATATCCAACTATGACTTGCCCAAGCTACTAGCAGCTTGATTCGGGAAACTACTAGAGGAGCATAAGATTGGTGCAGGTATTTTTTCATTGCTTGAAAAGGGTGTTTTGCAAGAATTGAGGGGGTAGTGTTGCAAGGATCCAATTGAGAAAGCTTGCTTTCTGATTATTGCAAGGCAACGTGCTTCATTTTAATTGGGTAATTACAACATTCTCGTCCAACTCACACATTACATAAACATCAACTAGGGGTGGGCGGGGGGGAAGCGGAACTGAAAAGTTCCGAAATGAAGACGTGGGTGGAGGCCAAATGGCCTCCAACCCTCGTTATGTACTCGGGAAGAGGCATTCGCAGTTGCCTTGCTCACTACGATCAGCTGCGCTTTCACAATCTTTATTTTTAGAAAGTGTTTCACACTTTCAAAAAATTTCATATTGAGAAAGCTTGCTTTCTGATTATTGCAAGGCAACGTGCTTCATTTTAATTGGGTCTTCTGAGACATGTGCGTGCGTAGGCTGAGTGTAGATCGCGAAGCCGGTTGATGGCGATGTCCAGTGATATCAGTTGTCGGTGCAGGTCGTTGCATTCCTTTCGACGTGGTTATGCGAGTTGCTCCCTCCTTTGGTAGATGTATGTGCCCATCGTTGTTGGTGGAGAGGGGGCCCGTGGTTTAGAATGTTTGTTATGCTGGCATGCGCGGTGGAGAAGATGGTTGTTGAAGACGGCCCATGTATCAATGATGAAGCTCCCAGTGTTGCGCGTCGACTGGAGCCGCGATTTTTGATGTTGTTTGGTCGATGACGCGGTGTAGGGTCTTGGACTAGTGACGTGTTATAAAAAATCAATGCTTTAGTTTGAAACTTTCATATTTGCGATTGGCACCGAGTACGAGATCTTTAGCTTGAGGAACTAAGGGGGGCCCAGAATGAGGTGTGTTCGTATGGAAGTGGCTGATATAGAAAGATGATGCTTGCGGGACCGGTACGGTATGCATCATTTGTATCAAGTTGAGATCCGAAAGGGTGTGGGTTTGTAAGAAAAATGTCGCATAACAAAACCTCCAGCCATGCGTTACTGGCCCATCGGTTTCTCGTCTCTTGGCCCGTCTGGTGCTTGTCTCTTGGCCCATCGGTTGCTCGTCTCTTGACCTATCGGTTGCTCGTCTCGTGGCACATCAGTTGCTCGTCTCGTCGCCCATCGGCTACTCATCTCGTGGGCTATTAGTTGCTTGTCCATTAACCCATCAATTGCTACTCTCTTGGCTCATCGGTTGCTCGTCTCGTGGCCCATCGGTTGCTCGTCTCGTGGCCCATCGGTTGCTCGTCTCGTGGCCCATCGGTTGCTCGTCTCGTGGCCCATCGGTTGCTCGTCTCGTGGCCCATCAGTTGCTCGTCTCGTGGCCCATCGGTTGCTCGTCTCTTGGCCCATCGGTTGCGCGCCTCTTGGCGCATAGGTTGCTCGTATCGTGGCCCATCGGCTGTTCGTCTCGTGCCCATTGGTTGCTGGCCCGTTGGCCTATCGGTGGGCCATCGGCCGCTCGTCTCGTGGCCCATCGGTTGCTCGTCTCGTGGCCCATCGGTTGCTCGTATCGTGGCCCATCGGTTGCTTGTCTCATGGCCCATCGGTTGCTTTTTCTCGTGGCCCATCGGTTGCTCGTCTCCTAGCCCATCGGTTGCTCGTCTCATGGCCCATCGGTTGCTCCTCTCTATCTTGGACCGTATATGATGGTTGCACAAGAAAAGCGACAAGAGGTGCATTGGCTGCACTGCCACACCATGTTACTGTTGTCTCGTGGCTCCAGTCAACAATTATATTGTCGAAGCGTAGCGATTACCGGTAGTGGAATGTAAATTACCTTGACATTCGGTACATGTTTGACTTTCCCCCCTATTGTTCGGAATGTGTGACGAAACAAGTCATCGTACTAGTGAATAATGGTTGCATGACACTCTCTCCTTCCTCGTCGTGCAGTGTAGGTGCGTGATAAAGTAGGATCCCATAGATGTCCTTACTACCGGTACGGTAGTTGCACTCTACCAACCTTACCAAAGTCAGTCAAATAGTTTGTGGCTTCAACATCCGATTAGGACCAAAATTGCTCCTTTTTTTTTCACTATTATCATATTGTACACATAATAGCCAGTGATACTACGGATCCACATACACAATAACTGGGGTTTTCCCCATCTCATCGGGTCCGCAAATCCTCCCTCCCTAAGAAGGTGGCCGTCTGGCCAGCATACTTAGAACCTTTACTTAGTTTTTTTTTTTTTTTTTTTTTTTTGCCAAATATCGAAGTTCACGGACCTCGGTCCCCTTCCCCCCCTGGGGGCGGCTCTCAGGCCAACTTTGGGGACCCTCGGTCCCCTTCCCCCCTGGGGGCGGCTCTCAGGCCAACTTGGGGACCCTCGGTCCCCTTCCCCCCCTGGGGGCGGCTCTCAGGCCAACTTGGGGACCCTCGGTCCCCTTCCCCCCCTGGGGGTGGCTCTCAGGCCAACTTTGGGGACCCTCGGTCCCCTTCCCCCCCTGGGGGCGGCTCTCAGGCCAACTTTGGGGACCCTCGGTCCCTTCCCCCCCTGGGGGCGGCTCTCAGGCCAACTTGCGAACCCTCGGTCCCTTCCCCCCTAGGGGCGGCTCCCGGCCCCTCCTTTCGATGTGCGTGCAGTTGATCCCGTCGTCGTTGCAATTTTTCCGCGCGACTTCAATCAACGGCTTTCCATCTTGTTCCGGTTTTCTGCCATCAAGAGAGTCAAGGGGGTATCGAGATTTATAGGCAATGAGAGTAAAAATTAGAACTGGAAGAAGAAGAAGAAGAAGAAGGAGGAGGAGGAGGAGGAGGAGGAGGAGGAGGAGGAGGAGGAGGAGGAGGAGGAGGAGGAGGAGGAGGAGGAGGAGGAGGAGGAGGAGGAGGAGGAGGAGGAGGAGGAGGAGGAGGAGGAGGAGGAGGAGGAGGAGGAGGAGGAGGAGGAGGAGGAGGAGGAGGAGGAGGAGGAGGAGGAGGAGGAGGAGGAGGAGGAGGAGGAGGAGGAGGAGGAGGAGGAGGAGGAGGAGGAGGAGGAGGAGGAGGAGGAGGAGGAGGAGGAGGAGGAGGAGGAGGAGGAGGAGGAGGAGGAGGAGGAGGAGGAGGAGGAGGAGGAGGAGGAGGAGGAGGAGGAGGAGGAGGAGGAGGAGGAGGAGGAGGAGGAGGAGGAGGAGGAGGAGGAGGAGGAGGAGGAGGAGGAGGAGGAGGAGGAGGAGGAGGAGGAGGAGGAGGAGGAGGAGGAGGAGGAGGAGGAGGAGGAGGAGGAGGAGGAGGAGGAGGAGGAGGAGGAGGAGGAGGAGGAGGAGGAGGAGGAGGAGGAGGAGGAGGAGGAGGAGGAGGAGGAGGAGGAGGAGGAGGAGGAGGAGGAGGAGGAGGAGGAGGAGGAGGAGGAGGAGGAGGAGGAGGAGGAGGAGGAGGAGGAGGAGGAGGAGGAGGAGGAGGAGGAGGAGGAGGAGGAGGAGGAGGAGGAGGAGGAGGAGGAGGAGGAGGAGGAGGAGGAGGAGGAGGAGGAGGAGGAGGAGGAGGAGGAGGAGGAGGAGGAGGAGGAGGAGGAGGAGGAGGAGGAGGAGGAGGAGGAGGAGGAGGAGGAGGAGGAGGAGGAGGAGGAGGAAGAAGAAGAAGAAGAAGAAGAAGAAGAAGAAGAAGAAGAAGAAGAAGAAGAAGAAGAAGAAGAAGAAGAAGAAGAAGAAGAAGAAGAAGAAGAAGAAGAAGAAGAAGAAGAAGAAGAAAAAAAAAAATGAAAAGAAGTTGAAACGATTTATATGCAACGAAATAATTGCTGAGGTGACATGGGGTGCTCCACTGGGATCGTTGGTGGTTGACGCCCAGTCAAACGCCTTAGGCGCGGCAGTAGCAGTTTCTTGACTGCCGTGCCACTGGCCATTTCGTCCATGGCGATTTCGCCACTGGTGCAAATGGCCATTTCGCCACAGACGCGTGCCACTGGCGCAAGTGGCGATTTCGCCACACCCTCGCGCCAGTGGCGCAAGTGGCGATTTCGCCACACACGCGCGCCAGTGGCGCAAGTGGGGATTTCGCCAGACACGAGCGCCACTGGCGCAAGTGACGATTTCGTCACTAGCGCACGCCACTGGCGCACGTGGCGATTTCGTCACTGATGCGCCAGTGGCCGTTGCTTCATGCGCACTTCTTTCTCAGTTGCGCGTACGCCAAGTGCATCGCGGGCGCAATGCTGTACCCTCCGCAGTTGACGCGCGTAGTAGCTAATGTATAAGTTACGCTGCTGCAGCACTTGTCCTAGCGTTGCCTCCGTGCTTCTAGAGTGGGAATTAAGCATGAGTGAGAATTAAGAGAAGTTGTGAACGGAAGTGGTTGGACGAGAATGAAGCGGAACTGAAAAGTTCCGAAATGAAGACGTGGGTGGAGGCCAAATGGCCTCCAACCCTCGTTATGTACTCGGGAAGAGGCATTCGCAGTTGCCTTGCTTCACTACGATCAGCTGCGCTTTCACAATCTTTATTTTTAGAAAGTGTTTCACACTTTCAAAAAATTTCATTACTGTTGACTGTGGATGCTGAAATGCGCCTAACAAAGGATGCTACCATACATGATGGACAGTACTGCACCAATCCGGGTCTCGGGGAGTCAGTAGCTCATCGACACCTGGCGTGAGCAGCCAGTGCTCGAGGTCAGCACCGGGGGCCTCGTAGGAGCCGGGGTGGAAGCGGTGGAGGGAGAAGGGCGCTGTGAGGTCCCTCAGCAGCAGCGCCTCCACCGCTGCCTTCACCAGCGACGCCCCCTGCACCCGGCTGCGCTTGCCCCACCCCGTCACCACCTCCACCTTCCCCGGTCGCCGCCACTGCAAGGGTGGTAATTCATTCCGGGATAGTGCACCACCACCACCAGCACCACCAGCAGCACCACCACCAGCTGTTGCTGCTGCTGTTAGTGGTTGCTTCTGCTTCTGCGCCACAGCTGATCCTGGTGGCTCGACCTCACCAACTGCAGCTCCCTCTTCATCCTCCTCTGCTTCCTCTTCTGGTTCCACCGCCCCTGCCATAAGATTGGTTCCTCCTGCTACTGTTTCCCTTGATATTCCCAGTGGTGAATCAAAAGCACCTGATGGAGCACCTGAGGCAGCAGAGGCCACCACAGCCTGCCGCATCTTCTCCAACGCCCACCGGGTCACGGTCACTGCAGTGCCTCCTGACATGCCGTGTAAGTCCAATAAACATTTCCCATGCCGCCCGTAAATCGCGGGCAGACGAACGGTGTTAGTGAACAGCTGTAGTCGCGTGTGGCAGAGGTCCCACATGCGAGCTGCCCGTTCGTGTTGCCCAAATTTATGCAGGAAAGAGATGCAAGCCTCAGAAAAGCCACGCTGGGAGTGAACATCAGCCTTGGTACACACAGCCCCTCTCATCCTCCTCTCTACCTCACGCCACCGCTCCGCCTCCCACTCCGCCAACACCTCCCTCACCTCCTGTTCCACCAAACCTCTCACCATCATTCTCGCAACAGCATCCCTCTCCGTCGTCCCGCAGCCACCCTCTCCCTTTCCTCCCTCACTTCCTCCATCACTCCTTTCCAAACTCACTCCCTCACTCACGGCCTCCTCCATAAGCATGCGACACACAGACTGAGGCGCCTCAAACCCCTCCAAGAGCAGCTGGAACACGGAGTGGGCGGGATGCTCCGTCTCTTCCATCAGCCGCATCAACCGGCCCACACCGCTGCGAGCAGTGCAGGTGGTGCAAGCATTCAGCAGCATGGTGTAGGTCATCAAGTCAGGACGCTCGCCAACAGGCAGGTTGAGCACCTTCCCTCGCACCAGGTTCAAAGCCCGGCCTGGCCTGACGTAACCATGACCACCCATGGTTTCGCCTGTGGAACATGGGACTTCTTCTGGCTTGTGTTTGCTGAGATTAGTGTGCTTTTCTCCTCCTGGCGTTATCCTCACCCGCCCCACTACATCCCACCCGTTTTTGAACGCAGAGAGCACCTCCTCTGCTTCGTCAAACATCTCCGCACTCACAAACGCGAGCAGGAGCGCATTGTACGCCGCCGCATTGGGCTGACACCCGGAGAGCAGCATGCGGTCGAACCACATGGCGGCGCGCTGGGGGTTGCTCTCTCTGGCCCACATCAGCACCAAGGTGGACCAAGCCATGGCGTCTGGGTGCATTCCAGCCACCAGCATCGCCTCAAACGTGGCCTCTGCTTCTGACAGCCGCCCAGCTATGCCCAGCAGGTTCACTGCACTCCTGTAGGTGATCATGTCCGGGGCCGGCCAAATGGATGGAGGAGGACGTACGGCACTTGAATTTCGAGACACTTCAGGAGAAGCAGTCGGCACTTGCGCACAGCTGCCTGTCCCACCCCCTTCCCTTGTGTTTCCTTCACCCTTCTGCCTTCCTCCTTCTCCTCCCCCCTGATTTGTCCGAGCAGCAACAGCAGCCAGGCACATGCGGTCAAAAACTGCCATCGCGTCGTCAATCCGGCCAACCGAGCCATACACTTCCATGAGAGTATTCACAGAGCTTACACTGGGCACCATTCCCCGCGAAATCGTCTCCTTGAACACGGCCTCAGCTGCAACGCTGTTGTTGAGGCGGCCGTGGCAGGCAATGGCAACGTTGTAAATGAACTCGTCGGGTGTTTCTCCTGCCCTCCGCGTCGCATGGAACGCCTTGATCACATCGCGGTACCGGCCCATGCGGAATAGCACGTCCACTCGAGCCCTGAGGAAAGCCGGGAGAGGAGTGGCCGTGGGGCGTGGTGTGGAGGAACGAGAAGAGAGAGACACGAGAGGAGCTAGAAGGGAGGTGTGCAAAAAAAGTGGGAAATCTCATTTTCAGAGTAGGAAATAGCGAGAGGAGCGGGTAAGGGAACCCACAGAGACCTACCCAACAGTAGACCGACGACTATCCGAAAATCCCCGATGCTCCAAAGCAGCCAGCGTCGCAAGAGCCTCCTCAAACCTGCCAGCACGAGCGTACGCAGCAGCGAGTGCCTGCAGCGTGAATGCATTCTCGCTGCACCCGTCCTCTCTCATCTCCTCCACCGCCCTCGCCAGCCCTGCCGCATCCTTCCCCCGCCCCAGCAGTCCAAAGAGGGCAGAGTACACGAATTCGTCCGGCTTCACTCCCTGCACGTCCTTGGCCCACCGGAACAACGCCAGACCGACGTCAGCGTCAAACAGTGTTCTCAGCACTTCGCTCACATGATACGGCTTCAGCTTGGCAACCCCCGTGCTGCTCATGTCATTTTGTAATCTGAGTTTCCAACGCCCTTCCCCTTCCTTGCTGCTTTCGCGCACTGCCCCGAACCTGCGGCTGCCACTACTCAGCAGCTCCATCTCCCACTGCTGCTGCAGCAGCGCCACCATCTCCTCTCTGCTCATTCGCCCACCCCTCGCTGGACCAGTAGGGGGGATTGAAGGAGGAGACGAGGGACCAGGGACAGGAAAGGTGGAGGCAGAGGGGGCGGAACAGGAAGAAGCTGCGGAGGGTGGAGCAGGGTGGAGAGATGTGCACATGCTGAGAAGGAACGCCACCATTCTCCTGTCCCATTCCCCATTCGCTGCTGCAGCACCTGCTGCTCGTCTCTCCTCTGATCTCCCTCCTCTCCCCCCTACTCCCCTTCTCTCTACCCATCGTCCCGCCTGTTCTCTGTGTGCGCCACCAGTTCGAACCTTCTCAGGCCAAGAATGCTGTTCCCAATTGTTCTCCTCAACATCCCACTCTTCGCCCGTTACTGCTGCAGCTCTTGACGGTGCTGCTGCTGACGGTGCTGCTGCTGATGGTGCTGCCTGTGCGGCAGGAAGGGATGGATGCGCGGGTGCCAGGGGCGCCGCTGCTGCCGTCACCCGTCCAGAAGCAGGTGAGCCTGCTGCTGCCGTTGCTGCTGCTGTCGCTGGTGTGGTCGATGGTGCTGCTGCTGCCGCTGCTGCTGCGAAGCAAAGACGACGCTCCGAAGCACGGTCTACCGCGTATGGCCATCGAGTAGTGTGTCGAGACGCCTCAAAACGAGGATCGCCGGGACCGTGGTGACTGGTGCAAGCTGCTTGCGCTTTCCGTTGCGACAGACAGTGCGACGGCGATGACGACGGATGCCTTGCGTGCGACGAATTCGCAAGAGAAGGCAGACCAAGCGACGGCTGGTGCGAATTAGCCACTAGCCACTACGTTCGATCTCTCATCAAGTGCCGCTTCGCCTCCCGCCACCTAATGTAGTGAGCAAGAATTCGCAACAGCAAGTCTGGATCAAGAAGCATCAAGAAAACTGGTGAGAAACTAGTACACCCAATTCGTTTAAAACAAGAACAGAACATCCCAATTTGTGTAAACCCATCGCACGTTCAGCTTTCCACAAATTTAGATTGCCATAATTCAAGTTCCACATGAGTCAGCTTCAGCTACTAGCAGTTCGACCGGAGGTGCAGTAGAGCACATGCGATAGTATGATCTAGTGGTGATCAAGGTCGTTGGTGTGTGCATTCATTCTACAAAACACCATGTGAGGTTGGTGCTGCTGCAATGCACCTAGAGCACTCCTACATGTTGCTACTGTAGCTGATATGGGCCCAGTATCAATCCTGGTCTCGGGGAGCCAGTAGCTGGTCGACACCTGGCGTGAGCAGCCAGTGCTCGAGGTCAGCACCGGGGGCCTCATAGGAGCCGGGGTGGAAGCGGTGGAGGGAGAAGGGCGCTGTGAGGTCCCTCAGCAGCAGCGCCTCCACCGCTGCCTTCACCAGCGACGCCCCCTGCACCCGGCTGCGCTTGCCCCACCCCGTCACCACCTCCACCTTCCCCGGCCGCCGCCATGTCAGCCGAGGTTCGCCTGTAGATTCTTCTGCTGGCTCCTGATTACCTGGTGCGCATCCCTCTTCATCATCCTCTGATTCCTCTTCTGAATCCGCTGCCCCTGATAAGAATTCAGTTTCTCCTGATACTCCAAGTGATAAATCGAAAGCACCTGAAGAATCGCCTGAAGCAGCACCTGAAGCAGCAGAGGCTACAACAGCCTGCCGCATCTTCTCCAACGCCCACCGGGTCACTGTCACTGCTGTGCCTGCTGACATGCCATGTAGGTCCACGGAACATCTTCCATGCCGCCCGTAAATTGCGGGCAGCCGAACACTGTTCGGGTACAGCTGCAGCTGCGTGTAACACAGGTCCCACATGCGGGCTGCCCGATCGTGCCGCCCAAATTTATGCAAGAAGGAGATGGATGAGTCAGCAAAGGCACGCTGGCACTCCATATCCGCCTTGCTAAACGAATCTTCCCTCATCCTCCTTTCTATCTCCCTCCACCGCTCCTCCTCACACTCCCTCCACACTTCTCTCACCTCCATCTCAACCAATCCCCTCTCCAGCACCCCTGCGATTGCGCACCTCCCCACCTCTCTATCACTACCCTCCTCACTTTCTCCCTCATCCCATCTCCTCGTGTCACCGTGTTCCCCTTTCCTTGCTAGCCTCGTACTTTCACCCTCCAAACCACTCCCAACCTCCCCACCCACCACCCCATTCCACCACTCCTCACATTTCCCCCACAATCCCCTCACTCTCATCTCCACCAGATTTCTCTCCATTTCCCCTCCAACTCCGTCCCTCCCCACCTCCCTATCACCACCCTCCTCCCTTGCCTCCTCACCCCCACTACTTCCAGCAAGTTCCGTTTCCTGTTCTTCGCACGTCCCGTCACGCTCGAAACCATTCCCGGCATCCTCAACCTCTGTCTTGGGAGTCGACTCAAACGAATCCTCTGTGAGCAGCACGAAGCTGGCGCGAGAGGGATGTTCGAACGAGTCCTCTGTGAGCAATTGAAAGATGGTATGGGCGGGATGCTCTGTGGCGAGCATGAGGCGCATGAGCTGCATCACCTCGCTGCGGTCGTTGGGCACAGTGCATGCGCTCAGCAGCATGGTGTATGTCATCAGGTTCGGGGCAAGGCCAGACGAGGAATCGGATCTTCTATCCGCCACCTTTGCAGCCCCTTCACTCCCACTTCTTCCCACTAGCCCACCAGTTCTGCCGGGCCTCTTATAAGCTGAACCAGTACCGATTTGATTCTCGTTCTGCTCCTCCCCTGGCCCCACCAGGTCCCACCCGTGTTTGAGAGCACTCAGCACCTCCCCAGCCTCTTCAAACATCCCGCGGCTCACAAACGCCCAAATAAGCGAGTTGTACGCCGGGGTTTCTGGCCGGCACCCCGCCAGCGCCATCCGTTTGAACCACATCGCCGCCCGCTCGGGATTGGCCTCCTTGGCCCACATCTGCACCATGGTGGACCATGCTACTATGTCCGGTTCTATGCCCGCCACCATCATCGCTTCAAACGTCGCTTCTGCTTCGGACAACCTGCCTGCCATGCTGAGGAGGTGGATTGCCAGGCTGTAAGTGCTTATGTCAGGGCCGGGCCAGATGGACGGAGGGGAACGAGAGGAGGTGGAGGCAGCAGCGGGATGGGGTGCTGGCGCAGCTGTCACCACTTGAGCAGCAGCGTTCGTGCACGTAGCTCTCGCTCCTGCTGCTGTTGCAGCTCCAGGTGACGAAGCAGGAACTCTCAAGCCATTCGAGGCGTTCAGAAAAGCCCTCCCAGACGCATCAGCAGCAGCAGCAGCAGCTACAGCAGCAGCACCAGCAGCAGCAGCACCAGGCACCCCCTCCTGATCACCTCCCCTCCCTTCACCACCCCTGGCAGCAACAGCAGCGAGGCACATGCGGTCGAACACAGCCATGGCATCATCCACCCGCCCGGCCCTACCATACCCATCCATGAGGCTGTTGGCGCAGAACACACTGAGGGGCATCCCCTAGGACAGCATCTCTCTGAACGCCAGCTCTGCGCCAATGATGTTCCCCAGGCGGCCGTAGCACGTGAGCACGGTGCTGTAGACGAACGCGTCGGGGGCATAGCCTGCCGCGCGCATCATGTGGAACGTCTTGATCACGTCCCGGTAGCGCCCCATGCGGAATAGCACATCCACGCGCACGCTGTGGTTGGAATGGGAGGGAAGGGAGTTGTGAGGGGCCTTAGAGTTGGTGCCAATCATGTGGAACGTCTTGATCACGTCCCAGTAGCGGCCCATGCGGTATAGCACATCCACTCGCACGCTGTGGATGGGCAGGGAGGGGAGGGAGGGGATTGTTGAGTCGCCATAAAAAGTCGTTTCAATCGTGTGGGAGGTACGTCCCGGTAGCGCCCCTTGCGGTATAGCACATCCACTCGCACGCTGTGGTTGGAATGGGAGGGAAGGGAGTTGTGAGGGGCCTTAGAGCTGGTGCCAATCATGTGGAAGGCACCGATCACGTCCCGGTAGCGCCCCATGCGGTATAGCACATCCACTCGCACGCTTTGGATGGGAGGGCAGGAGGAGAAAGAGGATGTTTCTGAGGCGCCTCATTATCGTAGAGGCAGGACAATTGAGTGTATCCAATCTGGTGGGGTAGGGAAGGTACGTTGCAAGCAGCTAGGACATCTCACAGACAGCCCTTTTACATACCCGAATGAGAATGGGCTAAGTGAATCATCCTTCTCCTCTATCTCATCCAGTGTCGCTAGCGCCTCCTCAGATTTCCCCGCACGCGAGTACGCAGCAGCAAGGGCCTGCAGCGTGATCACGTTCTCCCCGCACCCGTCCTCCCTCATCTCCCCCTCCAACCCTCCCAGTCCCTCAGCGTTCTTCAATCGCCCCAGCAGCCCAAAGAGGCTCGAGTACACATGCGCGTCGGGCGTCACTCCCTGCACGTCCTTGGCCCACCGGAACAACGCCAGCCCCGCGTCAGCGTCACACAGAGCCTTGAGCACCTCGCTCACGTGATACGCCGTCACCCTCCTCCCTTGCGGCCTAAGCACTGCCTGGAAAGGCACTCCACGGTGACTGCTGCCGGTGCCGGTGCCTGTGGTCTCCTCGTCCCAGTGAGTATTTCCGATAACCATGCCCTCCTCGTCCCAGCTCTTGCTGCTTCTGCTTCTCCTCGTCGCGTGTCTGCGACAGACGCTGTTGCTGCTGCTGCTGCTGCGAGCCAGCCAGTTCTGCCACTGCTGCTGCAGCAGCACCACCATCTCATCCACGCCCATTCTTCCCCCTCTGCCCTTCCGTTGCACCGCCATCACTCGAGCGCCAGTGGGACCAGTGGGAGCAGTGGGAGGGGGAGGCGGCTGAATGGCCCTGAGCATGTTGAGAATGACAGATACCAAGGTGCTGTCCCTCTCCCGCTGTGCCTCTCTCCTACCGCTCCTCTCCGTCACCCCCCCTACAGCAGCAGCTGCTGATACATCCCGTCCCTGAGGTAATATCTCATCCTTTTCGTTCTCCCTCAACGCTCTTTCCAATGCTTGCCATCCCATGCCGCCACTGCCTCCCCTCCCTCCTCTCCCTCTCCCTCTTCCCCTCCCGCCCGGCGCTCTGCCTGCATCCCCACTAAAACCCTCCCTATCCCAAGGTCCTCTCTGCCATGACATCTCCCCTCCATCGCACTTCTCTGCCTCTGCTGCCGCCATCTCCGGTACTGCCGCTCCCGATGCTGCCCGTGCACCTGCAGGCCCGCCATTCGAAGCGCTCTCTACCGCGTACGGCCGCCGAACAATGAGTTTGGACCCCTCAAAGCGAAGATTGCGAGCACCGTGTTGCTCGGTGCAAGCCGCTTGCGATTGCCGCTGCGACGGACAGTGCGACGGCGAAGGCGACGGAAGCCGTGCGTGCGACGAATTCGCAGGAGAGGCAAGATCAAGCGACGACAGGTGCGACGGAATAGATACCGGTTGCGACGGGTAAGCGTCGGTCAAGGCCGGTTCAGAATCGCGTGATCCGGTGGCCGCTAAGACTGCTCGAACGCTCTTACGAACCGTGAATAGGAACCTGGGCCGAAGCATGCTACCAGCCTACCAGCCCTGCGGGGGGAACCTTGATCCGCTGCTGCATCGACCGGACTCACACCGGCACCATGAAGGTTTGTCTATGGCCAACGCAAGTGCGAAAGTAGACACCTGAAGATCAGCGACCAAACATGGGAGATACGTGCAACTGTTACAACCACAAGCTGAGCTTTCCACATAAGATCGACAGTACACAAAAGGGCTTTCTTTTATAAACCCCCCCGCAATACAAACACCCTATGGGCAGCAAGGCATTTTCCTTGTGCCCTTTCCAATGTTCCACCATCATCCCTTCCAGCAACAACAGTGGCATCAGGTCGGTTGAGAATGGATTCTTGCTCTCACAAGGAGCACTCGAGCCTTTTGATCTGATTCGAGACTCCGGTACAGGGCCGGGCCGGGACACGCCGATTATTTACTGCAATACGGTGATCGATGGGGGATCTGGGAGAGGCAAGCTTGCAGATTGGTCAACTGTTTTTTAGCTCCTCTCAGCCCTCATCTCAGGGAGCCAATAATTGCTCGACACCTGGCGTGAGCAGCCAGTGCTCGAGGTCAGCACCGGGGGCCTCGTAGGAGCCGGGGTGGAAGCGGTGGAGGGAGAAGGGCGCTGTGAGGTCCCTCAGCAGCAGCGCCTCCACCGCTGCCTTCACCAGCGACGCCCCCTGCACCCGGCTGCGCTTGCCCCACCCCGTCACCACCGCTACCTTTAATGGCTGCTTCCACCGCAAGGGCGGTGCTGGCAGTGATTCAGATACAGATGATGAGTCTGCTGCTCCTGATCCTGACCCTGATAATGATTCTGTGGTTGCCTCTACTTCTGATATTGCTCCTACGCCATTTTCTGAACTTGCTGTTGGGCTGGCAACAGCTGATGGAGTAGCAGAAGCACCTGCAGCAGCGGAGGCCACCACAGCCTGGCGCATCTTCTCCAACGCCCACTTGGTCACCGTCACTGCTGTCCCCGCTGACATGCCATGCAAATCCACAAAACATTCTCCAACCTGCCCGGATATTGCGGGCAGCTGTATGCTGCACGGGTACAGCCTTAGCCGCGTGTGGCAGAGGTCCCACATGCGGGCTGCCTGCTCGTGCCGCCCAAATTTATGCAAGAAGGCAATGCATGCATCGGCAAAGGCACGTTGGGATTCGGCACTTGACTCACTGAACGCACTCCCTCTCATCCTCCTCTCTACCTCCCGCCACCTCTCCTCCTCCCACTCCCCCACCACCCCCCTCACCTCCACTTCCACCAGCCCACTCTCTATCATTCCACAGACAGCGCCCCACCCCACTTCCTCGCAACTTGCTCCCTCACTCTCTCCCTCACACCTTCTCGTTTCCCAATCGCCAGGTTCACACCCAGCAGCACTCCCAGCTTCACACACAGCACCACTCAGAGGAGCACTCTCACTGTCACTCTCAGCACCTGCCGGCAGCAGTGTGTGGGTGGATTCAAAAGGCTCCTCCGTAAGCAGTTGAAACACCGTGTGGGCGGCATGCTCTGTCTCTTCCATCAGCCGCAGCAGCCGTGCCACGTCACTGCGGGCGGCAGACTCCGTGCACTCGCTCAGAAACATGGTGTAGGTCATCAGGTTCGGAGCCAACTCAAGCTTCGCAACTCCCGGTTTACTCTGTGGTGAAACGGCACCGGCAGCACCCTTGTTGGCGCCTCCCGGGCCTGATTCTCCTTCTGCACTTGAGTTCAGCCAGCCGAAAACCAACTTGCCCGATCCGCCTTGCGTCGCCTCCTGCTCCTCCTCTCCTCGCCCCATCAGGTTCTCCCCTCGCCCTACCAGCTTCTCTGCCTGCCCCACCAGGTCCCACCCATGTTTCAGCGCACCCAGCACCTCTCCCGCCTCGTCAAACATTCCCCGTCCCACAAACGCCCACATGAGCGAGTTGTACGCCGGGGTTTCCGGCCGGCACCCCGCCGCCACCATACGTTTAAACCACATCGCCGCCCGCTCCGGATTCGCCTCTTTAGCCCACATCTGCACCATGGTGGACCATGTGATGGTGTCGGGACGCATGCCCGCTACTAGCATCGCCTCGAATGTCTCCTCGGCTTCGGATAGCCGCCCGGCGATGCTGAGAAGGTGGATGGCACAGCTGTACGTGATCTGATCCGGTGCCGGCCATGCAAAGGCGCGGGAAAAGGGAATGCTGGTGACGGTGCCGGTGGTGGCAGTGGTGGAGAGTGGTGCTGGTGCAACAGTTACTGCTTCAGCAGCTGCGCTGGTGCATACAGGTCGTGCTGCTGACCCGTGTAACGTGGATGCATTGTCAGCAGCAATGTGGGGATTCAATGGGGGTATCCCTGCTACAGCAGCAGCACCAGGCAAGTGAGCATTGCTGCGGTTCCCTCCCCTTTCCCTTGCCAATCCTCCTCCTCCACCTCCTTTCATGTGACTCGCCCCACCAGCAGCAACAGCAGCGAGGCACATGCGGTCAAACACAGCCATGGCATCGTCAACTCTGCCCGTCCGCCCATACGCATCCATGAGGCTATTCGCGCACCGCACATCCAGCGCCACGCCATGGCGAATCATATCCTTAAACGCCTCCTCTGCCCCGGCAGAGTTTCCCACGCGGCCGTAGCAGGTGAGCACGGTGTTGTACACGAACGAGTCGGGCACGTGCCCGGCGTTGCGCAGATCGGTGAATGCTTTGATGGCGTCGCTGTAGCGGCCCATACGGAACAGAGCGTCCACTCGAGGGCTGCGGAGAGAGGGGAGACACGAGGGGAGCGGAGAGAGGGGAGACACGAGGGGAGCGGAGAGAGGGGAGACACGAGGGGAGCGGAGAGAGGGGAGACACGAGGGGAGCGGAGAGAGGGGAGACACGAGGGGAGCGGAGAGAGGGGAGACACGAGGGGAGCGGAGAGAGGGGAGACACGAGGGGAGCGGAGAGAGGGGAGACACGAGGGGAGCGGAGAGAGGGGAGACACGAGGGGAGCGGAGAGAGGGGAGACACGAGGGGAGCGGAGAGAGGGGAGACACGAGGGGAGCGGAGAGAGGGGAGACACGAGGGGAGCGGAGAGAGGGGAGACACGAGGGGAGCGGAGAAAAGTGGGGGGTGAGACACGCGGCCGTAGCAGGTGAGCACTGTGTTGTATACGAAGGAATCTGGGACGTGCCCGGCGCTGCGCAGATCAGTGAATGCTTTGTGGCGTCAACGTAGCGGCCCATGCGGAAGAGCGCGTCCACTCGAGGGCTGCGGTGAGACAATTGGGGAGGTGGGAAGTGAATCATATGACCAATGAGTTTCGAGACGTGTTAACATGCAGATCAGTGAATGCTTTGATGGCGTTGTGATAACCGCCCATGCGGAAGAGCGCGCGTCCATCCACTTGAGGGTGCGGGGACAGGTGAGGCAATTGCAGGGTTGAGACAAGTGGGGAGGTGAGAGAAGAGGGGAGGCGGAGAAGTGTACCTATCGTAAGGCAGAAATGCACCCACAACGGGGGAAGCAGGAATAGCATGCACACCGAGTCAGCGTGTCAAACCAAACACTCACCCAATCAGAGTGAGCTGATGAGGAACGCTCCGCTCACCACCGCCCTGCATCGCCCCGAGCGTCGCCAGCGCCTCTTCCCACCTCCCTGCGCGCCCATACGCCGTCGCCAGCGACTGCAGCGTGACCGCATTGTGCTCACACCCGTCCTCCCTCATCTCCTCCACCACCCTCGCCAGATTCGCCGCGTCCCTCCCCCTTCCCAGCAGCCCGAAGAGCGTGGAGTAGACGTAAACGTCCGGCTTCACTCCCTGCACGTCCTTGGCCCATCCGGAACAACGCCAGAGCCGCATCAGCGTCCCAGAGGTTCTTGAGCGCCTCAGACACGTGAAACGCCCTCACGCTCCCCAGGCTCCTGCCCGGATTGCTCCCTGTAGGCACGCCTACTGGCTCTTCTTGTCCGTTTCTGCTGCTCTCCCCTGCTGCTGCTGCTCCGGCCCTCCTTTTGCTCTTTTTCTTGCCGTTTTTGCTGGTTCCGGTGGTGCCTGCTCGGTGCGCCTGCCACTGCTGCTGCAGCCGCGCTAACATCTCCTCCATGCTCAACCGCCCGGCACTCACCCCCAGGTGAGTGGGGGAGACGGCAGGATGAGAAGGAGGGAGAGAGGAGAAAGCAGGGTTACTGGCCGGGAGAGGATGGGCGAAGGCCGGAGCAGAGGGCATGGGGGAGGTGAAGGGAGGAGCAGGGGTTGCGGAGGGCGGGGAAGGTTGGAGCGATGTGAGCATGTTGAGAAGGAAGGCCACCATGTTCCGGTCCTTCTCCCTGCTCGCCTCCCTCTTCCCCCTCGGCCCCGCTGCTCTTGCTGCTGCAGCTCCGGCAGCAGCGCGAGACACAGGGGCAGCAGCAGTAGCAGCAGCAGGGGTATGGACTGGGATTGGGGCAACAGCAGCAACAGCCATGCCCTGAGCGACAGGTGCTACTGCTGCCATTGGTGCTGGTGCTTTTGATGACGCTGGTACATCTGACGCTGGGAAATGTGATGGTACACGTGGCGCTGAGACATGTGGTGGTACACGTGGCGCTGAGACATGTGGTGGTACACGTGGCGCTGGTACACGTGGCGCTGGCACAGCACCCCTTGGAATGTGTCCCTCCGGCCGCCACACATGACTCACGCCCCCAGACCCCTGCACCTGCGCCATGCCCTGCTGCGCCATGCCCTGCTGCTCCATGCCCTGCTGCGCCATGCCCTGCTGCGCCACTCCCATTCCCTGCTGCGCCAACCCCTGCTGCGCCATTCCCCGTTGCGTCTGCTGCCTGTGCTGCCCATATCCCCCCCTGTACCCCTGCTGGAGCGGAGATCGTGGCGCAACTCCTGCCCCAGCTGCACCTGACGCAGCACCTGGTGCTGAGGCAACACCTGAGGCAGCACCTGAGGCAGTACCTGAAGCAGCACCTGAAGCAGGCGTTGGCGGGGCTGCATAAAAGCTGAGCGTGCGAGCACGATAAACTGCATTGCCAACACCGGCACCACCGGCACCAGCGGTAGAAACAAAACCACCACCACCACCAGCATACGCAACATCACCTCCACCACCACCAGCATACGCAACATCACCACCACCACCACCAGCATACGCAACATCACCACCACCACCACCAGCATACGCAACATCACCACCACCACCACCAGCATACGCAACATCACCACCACCACCACCACCACCAGCAGCAGCACCACTAGCACGACTAGAACTAGTTAAAGAGCCGCTGTTCCCACTCCTTCGCCAGTGCCCTCGCCCTTTCTTCGCCACCTCCACTCTTCTCTCCGCCCCGCCCCACCCCTTCCCCCGCTCACGTCCCAAGTCCCGAATGCCACTGTCAAGCACCACATCCTCCATGCGGAACTCAAACTCTGCGCTCTCCTCCCCTCTTGCCCTCTCCTCTCCTCTTGACGCCACCCTGTTCATCACCCTCCCCTCTAACCTCTCCACGACTCTATCCGCCATTTGTTGCATTCCCGCACGTTCCGCCAGCCCCCCTTCCGCCACCCCCACTTGCGGCCTCCGGCCGGCAGTGCCTGTCGCATCTGCCAGGCTGGAAGAGAGATAGTGCGATTTGGGCGGCTGACTAAAAAAATTGCCCGCAGCGCTGCTGATTTGGCTGAACATTCCTCTTCGCGATCTTGACTCGGCGGCAAGTTCGGTAACAGCCTGCTGGGTAGCCTCGGGAACCAAGCCGGCCACGTCTTGCTGCCGAGGCTGCAACGCAGGTTCGGGCGGCGAGCGGCGCTTAAAGAGCCTCTTAAAAGAGGAGGCGACGGACACAAAGGGCGAAAGAAAGGCAGAGGAGGCTGAGGGGGAATGGTGAGGGGAGGCATTGTGAAAGGAGGCAAGGTGTGAGGTCTGATGGCGGGTTATACTGCCGCCAATAGCGGCCGGTGTTGGCCCTACAAGCGCCGCTGCTGGCGCTTCTCCAATAGCTGCGCTTTCGGCCGCCATAGCTGCTAGAAATGGCGTTCTCTGCCGTGCTAAGAGCAAGCTACGCTGCTGCTCCTGTTGCGTCTGATGCACTCGTGGCGCCTGCTGCGTCTGCTGCGGTTGCTGCTCGCGCGAGTTCCTCAAAATCTGCTGATCCTGCAATGTCTTATTCGCAACCTCGTTCTGTGGTAACCCTGTAACTGGAGCTCCCACGGCCGCTGCACATTCCTGCTCGGCGTTCCCGGGGGCACAAGGCCCAGCATTCGGAGCACTGTATAGCGCGTACGACCCGCTAGGGTCTTGAGGCGCCTCGTAAGGAGGCTCGCTCACACCGGATTGAACGGCGGGAGCACTTGAGGATTGCGGTTGTGGCGGTGGTTGTGGCGAAGATTGTGGTTGCGACGGCGGTTGCGACGAATTCGCAGGTGTTTGCGACTCTAACGATGGTGTGTGCGAGGAAATAGATAAGGATTGCGACGACTGCGAGTCGGTTAACGGCGGCCTAGGAGCTTGCGACCCGCTGGCTGCTATCACAGCGCGAACGCTCTTATAAACCGTAAAGAAAAACTTAGGTCGAAGCATGTTACCGATTCGACCCGAGTGCTGCACCACACTTCGCCTGCTGCTGCTTTGACTCGCACGGCGTGTGAGAAGTACGACTAAACCGCTGCAATCACGTTATTATAAGCGGTAACTGAAATCGGGAAAGGATTAGGCAGGCAGCCATGAGGGAGGGGAGTGAAGTGAAACACACTGACAGTGGAGACTGGACTACGGAGTCAGGCTGGGGACTGGAACGAACCTTGGGGATGCGCTGAGCTGCATCTGCCCGTTTGTATTGGCTTGCCTGCATGGGCAGCTCAAATCAAACATGCAGTTTGCCATGGCTGACGGCATGGGAAGGAGGGAGCTGGGCGGAAGCTGCGCAGACGTAGAGAACGAGGCGGTGATTGGCGCCCTCTCGACAGCACTGCGGGGGATTTGCTGGGCTCGGGAGGTGATTGGCGGAGGGAGGCGCGCGCTACGACCAATGGTGGAAGAGGGAGCGATCTTTGGGGGGACATCGATCCGCTCGTGGTGCGAAGAAGCTTCTCCGCGAAGGGGTTCACCGCTACACCTACCAAATGCATTTCTATACTTCACTGTGCATACAGAAATTAAGTTGTCTTTCTATTCCAACTGGTATGTTCTGGTGATATAGACTTAAGCTAAGTGCATGGGGAATTTATTATTTTAGCTACCGTATGAATACATTCAGCAATACATTCCACCTCAATCATGAAGGAGGATTTGGTATCAAGCGACAAACTTACGTCTGCTTGTTTTCTGTCTTGCTAGTTATGTCCCAGGACCTGTGGAGAATGCTCTTCTTCTTTGGAAGAGCAAACCTACCTTTAGAATGTTTGCCACTTTTTTCCTTCTCCCCTTGTGCTCTTCCACCAAGCAACACACCCTGCTGCTCCTCTTGCTCAGGGATGCCTTCTTTAGGTCCAGCCTTACCCAACTTCCCTTCTGATCTGCTTCCCTGGTTCTTCCAGCTTCTTTCACTCTCAGAGCCGCTGTAAGCAGCATACTGAAGTGTGGGTGATGGCGGGGAGGGTGGTTTACCCCGTGGCAACAACTGTGCAGGCGAAGAAGCAAAGTACCTGCCTCTTCTTGAATCACTTTCCACCACTCTCCACCCCATCACCTCTCCTCCCTCCACTGTATGTCTTCTCTCTATTCCCTCTCCACTTGACCCACCATTTCCCACTTCACCCTCTTCTTCCTGCCCCCCTCTCTCCCCTTCCCCCCTCCCTTTGTCCGAACCCAATGTGTTCTTACCACCACCTTCCCTTAACTTCCGTTTACTAGTGAACATCCCCGAGAAGGCAAGTGCTGGAGACGTAGACCCCTTCAGCTCCTCCCTATGACCGTGCCCATGCCCATGCCCATGCCCATGCCTTCCGTGTCTGTACCACCAGAACCAGTTACTGCCTCCCCCTGTCGCACCTCCCCTCCCTCTCCCCTCCCCTCGGCTTCCCAACCGAGCTCCTTCAGAAGGCAACTCGTTATAAGGAGAGAGCGCCTTGGAGAAAGGAGACGGGGACCGCTTGGCTTCGTCAGCGGAGCGGGAGGAGCGGGAGCGGGAGAGATGGCTGGGGCAGCGCTCGAGACGCTCCCAGTCAATACCACTGTTCCCCTCAAACTCCACTCGCTTCCCTGCCCCCTCCCTCATTGCACCACCTGCTTCTGACCCTGACTTGACAGATTTAGAGGCGGTTACGGTGGCTCCATCGCCCTCTTCTCCAGATTCTTCTGCTTCTGTAACCAACTCACTGCAAGTGGGTATTACCTCTAAGCTACAAGCGGGACGAGCAACAGATGTCAAGCAAGAGCTTGTAGGGTCTGACACAGTAGACCGGGGCAAGGGGCCTTTTCCATTCAGGCATGCCCCTGCTTCACCATGTGTTCTCGATAGCACGCCGCTCCCACATCTTACTCGCTGGCTCTGCTGCGGGCTACTCACTGCACCAGCTGCACCACCAGTGAGCAGTTCCCCCGATGCTGTCCCTGGTCTCTTGCTAGGAGCCCCCATGTCTGGTTCGCTTGCCGCCCTGCTGCTGCCACTGGAGGGGTGTGGAGGGGCGGGAGAGGCAGCGGGAAGGAGGTCTGCTGCAGAGCCTACGAAGAACAGTGCTGGTGCCTGCTGCTGCTCCTTCTGCTGCTCCTGTTTCTGCTCCTGCTGTTGCTGCTGTTGCAGCTGTTGCTCCCCCTCCTCCTCCTGCTCCTGCTCCTGCTGCTGCTGCTGCTGCTGCAGGCTATCCGCCCTACGCCCATCCCCCCGCACGCTCCTGTCAGCACCAGCCCCATTGGCCCACACCCCAGCAGCCAATGAAAGCGATTTCTTCATAACCATCCCTCCCCCTGCGCTTTTGCCCACCCCTCTCCTCCGCTCTTTAAGGCTCCCTGTCTGGGTAAGAGGTCGGGGAGAGGTAAGAATATGTGCTGCCTCACCTGCTGCCAAAGACAACTCTACCATCCCCGTATCCTGCTCCTCCCCCGCTGCTGCTGCTGCTGCTGCTAAGCCTAAACCAGACACTGCTTCCCCTGTCTCCGCTGTTCTCCCTGCCCCTCCTGCCCCTCCTGCTGCCCCTGCCACCCCTCCGCCTGCACCTGCGCCTTGAGACTCCTCCGAGCCTGACGTGCTCGCACTCTCCACCAACGACCCACCCACATGCCTGTCCCTGCCGCCCTTCTCCATCCCACCGCTCTTGTCATTATTACGGCGCCCCAAAAGAGTCATCCAGCTGCTAGAAGGAGAGATCTTCCCTCCCACCCCCTTCCCTCCATCCCCATAGCCACCAGCACGAATACTACCACTACTGCCATGACCAGAACTGCTAAAACTGTTGCTATTTCCACTGCCATTTGAAACCCCTTCTCCGTTCTTCCCCCCACCGTTCCGCCCCCCTCCACCTCCTCCGCTGCCTCCGAAGCTATTTCCTAAGCTGGCGCTGCCATTGCTCCCACTCCCAGCCACCTGGCCCACCCGAAGCTTGTTGATACGTTCGGCCCGAAGCTGCAGCTCGGCAGGGAGGCGCGCGTAGCAGGAGAAGCAGAGGCAGTGGCTGTCGAGGCCGCACTGGGTGCGGGAGGAGTGGGGGGAGATGCGCGTGTGACGCACACAGTACACGCCCTGGCACTCACGACAGTAGTGCTTCAGGATGCTGTGCCTCAGCCCGTCTAGTGTGTACCAGCGATCAAAGCGCACGCGGCAGCCTTCCGCGTTACACCTGTACTTGAAGCTAACAGACTTCATTGATTCCGTGTCCTCATCTGATGCCGCCTCCTGAACCCGCCCGCTCTCCCCCCACCCGCCTCCCTCCCCTTCCTCCCCTTCCCACTCACCCCCACGATAAGCCCTTCCGCCTGCCTCCCTTCCCCCCTCATGCCCGCCCCTAGCCAGCAGCCCATTCCGCGGCATTCCCCCTTCGCTACTGCCAAACGACGCCTCCCCTTCCTGCCGCCCGGAAAGCTCATCATACGACCTGTTCCGAGCCACACGCCTCATCCCCTGCCCTCCGCCCATCCCCCCCCCTGCAGCCAAACTCTCCCCCCCACCGCCACCCCACCCCCCTCTAACCCCCCGCCCCCCTGCCTCCCCCGCTTCCCCCAACGCATTTCCTTCACCCGCTCCTAGTCCCCCGTCCGCCTGGTCCCCCAACCCGTCAGACCACCTTCTTACGGCTCTGCTGCCACTGGGAAACGGACTTTGCTCATAATCCTCCCCGCCCTCATCGTCCCCAGGCGATACCAGCACAGCGATCACGCGGTGCAGTAGCGCAGAGACGCGCGCAGACGCCGCGCGGAGGCCCAGAACGGCGCGCGCGGCGGCGCGGACGAGGAGGAAGGGGCTGGCAGGGGAGGGGGAGAGGGCG